ATCCATGCTGTTTGCTATCAGTTTCTTTTCTTGTTATAAGGTCTGTAAGCGAACAGTATGGATCCTGATCAGACTGCTTGGATGCGCAGGCTGGTCTATATCCATGCTGGTCGCAAACACATTATGTTGGTTTTGTCGTGACGCTGCTCATATGATGAAATTCAAATATTTTCTTAAATTTATAATTTCTTAGAAGTAAAAAAACAAAAAATCAAATATAAATCAATTTGGATATTATAAGTTTTAATCATCATGAAAAAACAAACAAACACAACAAAAAACAACAGCACTAATGAAATGACAGTGTTGAAAACCTTTTTTATTCATTTGGAAAAAATTTGAATCAATTTGTAATCCTCTTTGTTCTTCCAAAGATTAAAGAAAGGTAAGATTCCATTTATAAATGCCCTACAATCAATCAATGACTTGCTACACAAAGCTTACAAACAAATGGACAGACATACTGACGGACAAACAAACCCTAATCCTTAACATGCTGGTAGCAACTGAATCTACACAAGATCATGATCTGCACTGTTCAATATTTAGTTAGTACTAATTTCGAAAGTTTCCCTAACAATGATGAATGGTTTTGTCCAGACTGAAAGATATTTGGCCGGTTTAAAGGAACATTAAACAACAACAACAACATAAATGCACAAACTAAAAAGTTAAACACAACAATACAGTGTACAAAAATATTGCACAAAATTAAGATGTCATAGTAAAACATAATTATACATAAACTGACTTTAACAAAAATCAATAACTCATCATTAAAGACTTTGCCGAATAAAAAAAAAACAACATAAAAATTTACATGATATAAATCAGACCACATGCATAGAAGAAAATATATGTACATAAAATTTAATGTCATCTATTAAATCTACATTCATTAAATCAATCATTTACAAATTAACATTTGCCTACAACTACAAAACATTGTCTAATAATAATTGATCCCATTCATTTGCCTACTTCATCTCAAGAAAACAGTCTCAAAATTTAGCTTAGCCATTGGCTAATTTTGAAACTGTGACTTGGGTTAGAATCTGCCAATCAAAGTGAATGACTGGTCTCAAACTTAAACCAAATTTAAACACATTTTAAGATACCAATATAAAACCTGAAGATAATCAACTTTCAACAAAAAGCTGCATGTAAAGTATGTGTTTTTTACCAGAGTTAGGACTGTTGTTTGTTATCACAAGTAGCATACATGTAACTATATTGCCTCTTTATTTAAGGAGAAAATTGCTTTAAATAATGATTCTCTTTTTGTTCATCAATTGTAATATAAAGGCAAACTAGAAGAAAAACTATTGGCTAAAAGCTATAAGTTTTTATATAATTCCTTTGCTCAATAGTTTTTTTTCCTTATAATTAGGAAAACAGACAGTTTGTGCACCATGCTGCATTTATGCACTTGAACTCCTACACCCCTCAATGCGCTAATTACTACCCGAGGGGAAACACTGACCTTCAGTAAGCTTATAACCTTCATTTCATTAAAGACATTTTCAGGAGTTTTCATATAGACAACATCCAATTCAGGGGCTGATAAATTAAAAACAAAACAAACAAGAATGGTTACCCCAAATTATCTTCGCTTAAAATGTTTGTGTTATAATATTATAACAACATGCCAATTTTAATAAAGAAATTCTATTGAACAGTTTTTTATTCTGCCTATATGTCTATATGAAATGTCCAAAAAACATCCTTAAATACTCATAATCCATAGAACCTAAAGTGATATGGTAGAGTGCAAATAATATTAGTAAAACTCAAAGACTTCCATCATTTGTAACACAGAAGTTTCAACTGATGAAACTATTAAAATTTTGTATGTTTAGGACAAGAATGTTCAACAAAACACACTTATAAATTCTTTATTATAAATCATTTCTGATAATGAAACTGTGATTAATCAACAACACAATTGTGAAATATGAAATATTTTATTACGCCTCGCATGATTTATTTACTATGTAATATAGGCTATAGCCATATGCGACATCAAGAGGTAACAACCTATGCTGGCCAAGTGCTTTATAAGTAAGACTAGTAATCTAAGGATTGCTGGCAGCATGGGTTCAAACACCCAGTCAGGAGCAAGCCGTTGTTTCCTTGAGCAAGAAACTTTACATTCCAATACTGAGTACTGGTTGGTTCAAGAAACGGATTTGAGATTGTTTCAATAAGCTTAAAGCTTCCAACACAATCAGACTTAATCAAATTCTCATAAACTAATCTATATAATGTCACAGTCATGGCAACCAACATATTGCACCAGCTGACATTATGACTAAATGGTTCTCATGCACAGACTGGGTGCCGGGTTTTAGTCATTAGTAGTTATATTTGAGATGTCTTTCTTGAATATTGAAATGTTCGGTATAATAATATATCATACGGTGCCCTAAATTTGTCCCTGTCCTAGAGTCAACACTCTGACTGTGTATGTCAGAAAGTCTTAGCAAATGTTTGTTAAGAAAGAAAACCGTTGGACATTTTAAAACATCAAAATAATTTAATGTATCTGCCAAATTTCTTCATCATACAACCCTTGGATCATTAGAAAATATGGTATATATTTGGACTTGCATTTGGGTAAATTGGCCTAAGGGGTAAAAACAAATTTATTTGACTTTTGGGATCTTTATAATGCTTTCCCAAAAAGGGAAAATATGGCAAAAAAATTTTCATTTCTTAACAAGATTTTTAAACATTTTATTTCGGCGACATCACCTTTTTAGGTGAATTTCCATCCTTTTATAACACACTCATTGAGATAATTTATACTTTTTAATTTTGGGTTAAACAAAAATAATTTTTCCCATTCCACCTTTCAAAATTTTACAACCCAAAGGGGTTTTTTCCCATTCACTCGTTTTTTCATTATGAATTAAAAATTAATTATTATTTTTTAACCACAAACACATTTAAAGCGGGATATTTGAAGCATGCATGCCTATTTCCTATGAAAATTAAGTAAAAAGTAAAGAATAGTTGAAAATGTAGTAAAAAAAGTATAGTTAAGTACAACATATGTGTAGACAAATGAACAAATAAAGTACAAAATGTAACTGAAGCTTACATAAGGCACTTACAATCAACATAAATTACCTAAAATGTGTCAAAATATATTTAAATAACTATTACTCCGACAGTAATGGGGATAAAAGAAGTAAATTTATCTTAGTAATGTATAAAGAGTATATAAAATGTTGCATGAATACCGAATATGAATGCATTTCTTAAAATTTCAATTCATTCTTCAACAATCTGATTTTTGAATCTTTGGTCTTTTATCTGGAGGCACTCACCTATTAAGCTGACAGTATGAAAGAACTGGTGGATGCATTTTTCTTGTATCAAATATAGTTAAAATACCATTACATTTAACTCTCAAACAATTCACCCAGGGTTAATTTAACCAATGTTTATACAAATGGGTGCTGGAAACAAAAGTAATTAGCCTTTGCCACCAGTTTAGAGCCAGGCCAGCCTGAATGACTTACAGTCTTACCAGTCCTTATACTTTATACCATTGGAAACTCAAATTTTTTTATTATTTTTTTTTGGGGGGGAGGGGGATTTTGTAATTGAAATCCCTTGATTTTCAAAAGGACCGCCCCGATTTCAAAGCTGGGAAAATCTTTTACAAAATTCAACAGGTAAAATACTACTGTTACCTGAAAGCAAATGAGCGTGATTTACCAGTTGTTTTTTTCTTTAGAAAAAAATTGAGCCAATAAAATATACTTTGGAATTTTAGTAAATGAGAAATGGTAAGGCTTTTTTCATAGGTTGGCCTAATTTTGGGGAAAAATCAACTATATATTTGCAAATGGAAAGAAAAAACTTGAGGTAAATTCAATTTTTCGGGGGAAAACTCCATGCTTTTTTTAAGGAAATTTTCTTTGGGGAAGCAGCCCTATAACAACCCCTGCTATAGCAGGAAAAAATGGCCCTGAATGGTAAAGCACTGGACTCAAGTTTTAATAAAATGTAATTTAATATCAAAAATATTCACAATTATTATACAATATTATGTTTTTATTATGTCTGTTTTTGAGGCAGACACCTTAACCACTATGATACAGTTGTCCAGGACTTGATCTCTTGAACATGTTAGTCTGTTGACCTCCTGATCCCCTGATCGAACTTACTGGATGGTAACAGGTCAGTAATACTGTATATAGAAATGTTCACAAAAAGTGTCAAGAAAATTAGTTAAGTAAACAAATGTAGTAAATTGCTAACACAAAAGTTGAAAAAAAAATACATGCATCCAATACATGTAATTCCATTCTTATTTTAAACAAATGACTTCATTGTTTGAATGTATACAAAAATAGCACTTTCATCAGACAAATTTCAAATGTACATCACAGTAAAAATAACAAGGACAGTTTATTGTGTAACATCACAAATACAGTGCATTTTCTTATTGTGCATCAGTTTATTCTCTGATAAAAGGTGATGGACAAAAATTTTGGGTCCCTATAAAATGGGAAATAAATTTGGGGTGAATTACCATTTTTTTTTGTTATATTTTTCCAAAACCACTTGTTTTTTTAATAATTTTTCCCCCTTTCCACAAGCCAAATCCAGCTTTTAAACCCCTTTCTTGTACAATTGTTTTTTTCCCTTAAAACTTTTTCTTTTTAAAAAATTTAAAAAAATTTGGATGATTTTTTTAAAAAATTTGAAAAAAACTATTTTTTAAATACCCCAATCTGTTTTTAAAAAATATAAAAATATGTTTTGTTTAAAACCTGCCATTCTTACAAAATTACTTTTCTAAGATTGCCCAAAATCTGTCATTCTAACATAGTAACTTCCCTTAGATTGCCTCTAATCTGCCTACAAAAATCTGCCATTTGAACAGAATTACTTCCCTTAGATTGCCAATAACAAGAGAATCTTATTAATATAATTCTAGTAAACTTGAGCCTGCAAATTGGATTTTTATTTTCCAACTTGAAATTCAAATGCTCACAAAATAAAAATGATTTCATTGCAGTTGTAAAAGCACTGTCTTCTCAAAAAAGCACTGTCTTCTCACAAAAGGACTGTCTTCTCACAAAAGCACTGTCTCCTAAAAAAGCACTGTCTTCTCAGCACTGTCTTCTAACAAAAGCAATGATGTGTTACAATAGCACTGTCCTGCCATAATAGCAATGTTGTGTCACATTAACATTTATCACAATACTGAATAGCAATGTCTTGTAGGAGTGTTTCATCACAATTACAATGTCTTTTCACAATAGCAATGTTTTGTGTTGGTGGTTTTGTGGTTTTATTCTGGTACATATATGTTACAGTTTTGGTCCACTTTTATCCACAGTGACAGTTTTCTTCAGTCCACCCTTTGAAAATCCTGTGATAGAGCTGAGTAAAGCACCTCTTCCTGATGACGATGGTGGTGGGGGTGGTGGGGCTGCCCCAGGGGCTGGAGGTGGTGGGGCGCCACCTGGCGAGGAGGTTGGTGGAACTCCCATACCTGGTGCAAGGGGTGGGGTGGTACTTTTCCTGGGGCTGGAGGAGCTGAAATTCATAGAAAGAAAAATAAATTACGATGATAATCATAAAACAATTTCTTTAGTTTTACATTTCAATTACTTTATTGAAATTAATTTCATCCCGTTGAACAGAGCTTAACATTTATTAACAAATTTTGATTTCTTATAAATCACACCTTTACTATAGCAATGAAATAAATATGCTTCCTCTATTAAAAGACCAATTAGATCAAAGCAAATTGAAAAATAAATATCTTTCATGCTATATTTATTTTATTGATATTACAAATTTATTTAAATTATATTAATGATTCTTTAAAGAATTGTGCAGCTGTTTGTGTTAATTTGATCTTTATAGCAAAATGACAGAGATAAAAAGATGCCAAATTTTCTTTAATTCAAGATGAAGATAAAATAAGCTAAAATTTGTTTACTTGTGATGTATTTCAAATGAAAAAGATAGAATGTGCCAAAATTTTATACTTAAGAAGGAAATAATTTGAAAAAGTGATAAAATGTTGCAAATTTTCATGAACTTGTGATGAATGTAGCAACTGTTTGCCTTAGTGAAAAAATTCTACAATACTATTGTAACGACGTTAGTAGAACGTCATAATAGATTCTACTGATAATAAACATAATAATATGCAAAAACTAAAGTTGGTGAATTGACATAAGGGAATGTTTCTCATATATAAGAACACAAACCACTCTTGTTGGTGAGCTAGCTTTTCATCAACAAGGTTTGTGTGCCGCACATGTCACTATATATTTTTCCGTAGCGATGGCAGATAAAATGCTATGATAATATTTCATTCACCTATTTAAAATGAATTTTCAAATTTTCATAATAATTATATGCAAATTATTTTTTCTTAAAATGATAAATTATTGCCAAAGATACTGAAAAAAATATTAAAACATAAAATGACACAGATAGACGATAAAGTTAATGAAAGCAAACGCTAATTCCCATGATCTGAAGTAACTTGAACTAATATTTCATTTAATTTAGGATCCAATTTCATCATAAAAACCTGATCCCTCTATTCAAAATCTATGAATTAAAGGAACTCCACTGACATCCTAACACCTAAAATTTGAAATTCTTACAAACTTTAAACAGAAAGATAGGCAAAAGAAAATAATTAGACCCAGAAATAAATTGAAAATCATATTTTTGTGCTATTTTCTTTAAGCCCAATTGATTAAAAAGTGTTGTAACACTCCAATTTTAGGTCATTTTTCTCAATTTGAATAATACTTCTGGATAAAAGGAGTGAGCGAATGATCTGAAATTTTGCACACAAGTTTTTGATGTAGAACTACTCAAAAGGAACATGAATCTTGAAAAATTATTTCCAGTCTCGGCATGTCAAATAACCTTAGTGGGGTCCCTTTATGAGACATAAAAACTTCATGACTTTATAATCCTGAAATGCTAGATTTGTAAAAAGTATGTTTAAGTAATAAAAAAAATTACATACTCTGTTGGACACAGTAACAAAGTTAAGGCTACATACATATGTACTAAAAATAAGGGCCTATCACTTTAACTAAGACCCAAGGGAATGTTAATTTAACTTAACACCATAAATTTTGAATATCGCTGTTTCAGTTGTTTAGACTGAAACCATACTGTGAGAAAAAAAGTAAGTTTATGACCACAAAATTAGTAAACATTGTGCCGTTTTTTAAAACTGACAGCAGGATATTCACTGATTACTAATGAACTGTGCATCTCATGAATTTTCTAAAGTAAATCATTTGCTGACATTAGAAAAATTCACTACATGTAATTAAATGTCTGATTTATTGCATAGATTAGGTATTTACGCTAAAATGAAATTACATGCCTCACTACACACTGATGATGTCAGGTTTTTATTCATTCATTCATTATTGCAATGTAATGAAAAGAATGACAGGCGAGGTCACTGTTAAGACAAAATCTTACACTTTTTACAATCATATTGAGCCGCGCCATGACAAAACCAATGTAATGCATTTGCGACCAGATGGATCCAGACCAGCCGGCACATCCGCACAGTCTGATCAGGATCCATGCTGTTCGCTTACCAACCCTATTACAAGTAAAGAAACTGATAGCGAACAGCATGGATCCTGATCAGACTGCGCGGATGCGCAGGCTGGTCTTGATCCATGCTGGTTGCAGACGCATTACGTTGGTTTTGTCGTGGTGCGGCTCATATTGAGTCAGGATTACCCATTTCAATTTTTGTTTTTTTGTTGTGTTTTACATTGCACCAACAAAATATAGGTCATTACCCAAGTTTAATTAGCTTTAATAACCTAATATATCCATAGAGACCTGAGGTCTGGCATCCACCAGTTACCTCCCTCAAGATATGGTCCATTGCACAGGGAGAAAGTGAGCTAGGAAATCGGCCATACTGCATGATTCATTTAAAAAGGAAATATTTACAGTATGTAATTTAAATCTTTCATATTAAAGTCATTGAAAAAACCCTGTAAAAAAATTTGCCTTTTAATAACTAAACAAGAACAAACTTCATATACAAACAAACATAATTTAATTGTATATATAATTATTATTGGATTATACCATTTTAAAATTAGTTAAGTTCAAGTCAAGTCAAACTTAATATTAGCGAAAGCATATTCATTCCAATTACCAAATTACAGAACAAAGGATTTAACTTATAAAAATACAGAAGACTATGAACTAAAGCATACCATACATGTATAGCTTGCAGATTCATAAACAAAGTCAACATATAAATACATTAGCAACAGCTTATACAGATTATATATAAAAGCAAAATAAAATCAGCTGTAATCACAAAATGCCAAACTTTTTCTTTAAATACATGTACATGTTTTAGGGAAAAAGTCATCACAAATTTTCACATATTTAAGTTATAACTACATTTATAACCGATGAAAAGACTGGGTACTTGATAGTTGAAATCTTTAACCTAAATAATGATGAAAATGAACCTACGAAGCCATTTTCAAAAGTTAAGAGTCACGCCTTCCAGTACAGGACTGTCTATAGTTTGACTGCATTGCAAAATTTAATGGTAATATCCCTAAGATTGATAATAGATTTATTTAAATAAAAGATTGACAAGTCAGATAATCCCTCGAACAAGTGTGCAAAATGTGTGTGCAAAGTTTCAACCTATTCCCTTTGATAGTTTTGGAAATACCAACTTCCAGGCAAAGAAATTTAACCAAAGTGTGATTGGGACATCGACGACAGGGTGAGCATCGACGACAGGGTGAGCACAATAGCTCTCTGTTTTTGTTTTTTTAATCGTCGAGATAAAAGTGACAATATTTGATAGTGACCAAATAATGGCGTCAAGTTAGGTCTAAATGCGCTTCAGAATTTTTTCTTCAAGTTTTGTTAAAGATTGCAGAATTAATACTGATAACCCATTGCTCATCTATGATGCTATCATAACGTAAGATGTACAAAAAAAGCATGCAACATACCAGTTTAAAACTTCAAATTCATTAATAAACAACACAGTAACATGCTTTTCAAACAAACAAATGCTAAGCCCATAGCACTATACTAATATTCACACACATAGATAATTATACAGTTTTCTTGGATATATTAGCTAGATACCACAACAATAAATTTTTGTGTATGTGAATATGCTATAGTTAAGTAGGAAAGTTAAAAAACAATGAAAATCAAAAATGCAAAAAGTGAAGATTAGTAAAAATATTAAAGTAACAAATCAAACCTAATTATGTCATATTTTCAATATGTAATAATTTTACTACATAATTGCAATTGTTTGCTTAATTCACTACATGTGTTTTGACAAACTATGTAATAGCTCCTTTCTATATTAAAATTCTTCCCATTCCATAACATTTCTAGTAAACTAACCACAAAATGGCTCATGATAAAACACTCAGCACTTTAATAAAGCACATTGGTAGAAGATGATTTCAATGGCATACAAGAGGGCTATGATGGACCGCTCACCTGAGATACATTGTTAGAAAACAGGTCACAATTCTTCAATACAGAAGTAAGTCATTTAACAAGTTAACATCAAGGGTGTCATTTTTGACACAAAGGGGCATAAATAAATGTCCAGTGGGAAATACTGCACGCCAAATATCTATGTTCTTCACGCAAGAAGACTAACATATGTTTAACTTTATATAACAGCTTAACCCATTACTGCATGAGCATTTTGTGAAAAATGGCTGTTTTCATTGAAAAGTCTCCTGTTACAAGTTCAAATTGCTATAAAACTATAAAGACTTTTTCAATACTAATCAAACTTGGCACAAATGATAACTGGACCATTGCCTTTGTAACAACATGCTCAGTCTTAAATTTAATGTTACCATGGCAACGAAGGGACATCTCAAAATTGCCAAAAATCACTATTTTGCGTTGATTTTTTCCATCAAAATTGATTTCAAAGGGCTGCAACTTCTCAATAGATTGAAATAGAGTCAAAGGCTTTTCAGCATTGGTTACACGTTACCTTATGATATACCTGGGGTTATTTTTAGCTTCTCACAAGTCCAAAATTTTCTTGGCGATGAGAGGGACTGCCGACCCCTTCTGGCAACCCCCTGATGTACCTTTTGGATGGGGGCGGCACCGAAAAACTGCTCACTTTTTTTTATCAACATTTCTCAAATGAAAACATGTGTTTGGAACCCCAACAGGACATTTATTCACTATTTTAGGTCTAAAAGATGGGGGGGGGGGAAGGGGGATGGTTTTAAAATGCGTTGTTTCGCCTATATATAAGGTAATATATAAGGTAAAGGGTTAAGTGACCCACAGAATGGTGGCAATTCAAACGGCCAAAGGGAATACATATAATTAACGGGTATATGACTTTGGTATTGGACCATAAGGTGTTGCTTCATGCCAAATATCTTCCCTATGGGCATTGCAGTTTCAAACTGGAAGTCATTTAAGTCTTTTAAAATATAAGCCTACACAAGTAACCTCCACTTCATATGACCAGACCTATTATAATAAAGGACTTCAAAATGATGCTACATACTAAATATCTGAGCTATTTGCATTGCAGTTCCTGTAGACGAGATTTTTAAAGATTTCATTCTTAGCTCTCCTGACCTACTTATGCATTAGACAGGAACTTTATATAACTTTTGTCATTATTAAAAGATCATTTCTGTGAAGTGTGGTCAAAATCCACCTTGTTGTTTAATAGAAAATATTTTTTTTTTACAGAAATTGTGGATAAAAATGAATGACAGTCACATTGCAATCATAAAAGCTCACCCCCTAGCACTTTGTGCCCAGGTGAGCTTAAAACAATGTAGTTACAGATTTTAGTTTTTCTAACCATGAAAGTGTTCTTTTTTTGTTGTTGTTGTTTTTTAAAAGTTGTTAATATCAAGTAAGGCCATTTAGTGGTTTTATGCCTACGCTAGTATCTATCACAGTTAGAGAATATCATGCATACACTAATACAACATACACTGTTGTTACCTAATCTTAGGCTTCTTCCTGTAAATCTGTGGATGGTGTAATAACAAGATTGTTAGTAATTTCAAACACTCTAAACATTCACAATTTAACAAGTACAATGTATACATCAAAAAGACATACTACAATGCAAGCAATTCAAAAACAATTTTTCAAAGGTCAATTTTCAGTACAATTAGATTGACCTTGAACTTTATGAACTTTGACCTTTGTCTAAGACACTTGGACAAAGCAATCTAACACTTCTTAAGTTAGAGAACTGACTATAAAATTGTCTATTAAGAAGGAATTCTAGTTTCAGAATGTTTCACCGTTAAACAAAGGTTGTGATCTTGACCTTCACAAAGAAATTAACATTTCAGCTTCTCACATTATGTCAAGGGCAGATCTAAATATAGATACTCTAATAATTAACAATCCTTTTTTTATGTTGAAAGATCTAATTGTTGCAAGATTTTTTTAAAGCATAGCATTTAAACTTTTATAGATGGGGACCTTTATTTCATATTTAATCAAGGAATGCAAAATAAAAGCTTACAGAAACTGTTGTGGTTGTCATAGAAACAATAAATCAATATTTCCTAATATTTCTTTATTAAACTATAACAGTTAATACCTAATTTACAATCATTATTGTTTTGCTCTATTCTAAAAGAATTATAAAATTCTTGTGATTTGGAGGTGAGTTTGTATTTCACTGTGGAAAAGCTTTAATTTGTGGATACATGTATATAATCAACTACAGTATATTTGGGTGGATTCCTTATAAAGATGAGGATTTCCTTTATTAAAGGTAAAGGATAAAGGTCAATATTGAAAGCGACTGATTTTTACTTTATATACTAGGCAGGTCAATTTTGGAAACTGGTCAGTTTTTTTTTATGTTCAATATTCTATTTTTTGGGAGGGGGTGGGGCAGGGGGACAATAGCAACAAATACATGCCAGACCATATTATTTTACAATTCAAAGCAGGCAAATTTCAAGTCATTTCCTAACTTGTTACCAAGTTGTCATTTGGTACCATTCTTACTGCTTTTTTTTTACTCTAAGTAATAGTAAGTTATACCATGTATTAGTGATAGGCCCATTGTTAGCAAATATTACATTTTGACATTTTCAGTATCTCTATTTTATTAACTGGGATTTAAGTCACAACACTAAAAATTTCAAGGTCATATGTCAACATTTACAGCTAAACTAGTTGCTGAAGACATTAGGTGTCCCCTTGGCCCTCTGTGGTTTTATTCAATCTCAAATTAATTTAGACCTCAGTAGAACCATGATCCCGTCTGTACACTAGATGGATAACTTCCTCACATAAAAGAATCCAAAGTCTCTAAAGGGATTTAAACTCACCGCAATGAGAAGAAGGTGGTTTAAAGTCTGAGTCCTTAACTACTTGACTGCAGAGGCCACACTTTTTGTCATTAAAAATTTTGAACTTACAAGTCTATATAAGTTGTTTTTTTTCTGTTTCTTTTTTTTTCAAAATTATCTAATTTCTTTTATCTTTGTTGGTTTTTTACAATATAAAGCAAATGAATATTTTTTTTGTACTAGTTTGTTGTAATGATGGCCTATCTACTAAAAACACATTTGAGAAGGAAATACTGATTACAGTATATTATCCTAAAGAAATAAGAATGGTACAGAAATGGACAACAGAAAATGTTGTTGAAGAACTCACCAGGTGGCGCTGGAGGTGCGCTCGTTGATGTCGGTGTTTGGGCGGGTGCTGTGGCAGGTTCTGTCTTCTCCGTCGTTGTTGCTTCACCATTTTCCATAGCCTTCTACTCAAAGAAATAATCAAAGTGTGGTTATTAAGTGTATAAATTCTAAGGTAAGGATGGAAGGCCATTTTTGAATTTTGAAAGAAGTATCCAAGATGCTCATTCATTTGCAAACAAATTTTTTTATGAGGGGAGATAATTGGTCCAAAACTAAAGGAGCCAGTCAATAAAGCCTCTTAATTCTACAATCTGTCCCATACATTTAAGGTAATTATATCATATATGTACTATGATATTGATTAAAGGAATTAACTGATTTGGGCAGTTTATAAATTAGATAGACAATGGATTCCTATACATTTAAAACAATTACAACAAGAGCCTAAGCAATTGGAAATGATGCAAAAGGAAGACAATTTTTTTTTCAATTTCCAAAAACTAACCAAAGGTAAATTTATGACATGTAGTAACAAGCAATAAATGTTGCTTTCATTGTTTTCATTTAAGTGTATATTATATAAGATTGTTTACAATATTAACACACGTCTATTAAAATAACCACTTTCAACAAAAATTTAAAGATAAACAAGAACTGTCGAAGGACTGTAACGCTCAACTATTCGAGAAAGTTGTTTCAAGGGTGTTTCATTTAGTATAACTAGAACTATCACTAAATGTGATTAATACCCCCACAAGACTGCTTCGGAAATGAGGATGTTACTAGTAACAGAATACCTTGTAAAAGAATTGAAATATAGAGTTATGGTTGTGGGCAATTAAAGATAGTTGTGGTTCTTGTATATTGCATTTCCTTGTGGTTGACCATTGAAGAAGTTTTATTGAATTACTCAATAAAAAATCCAGAAATACAAAGAAAAGGAACAAAGGGCAATAACTTTATAAATACTGAAGATGGAGTTATAGTTCTTGTGCACTGCACTTCCTCCCTCTTTTTGTGCTTGACCATTGTATGAAGTTGTTTTGAATTTCAACCAGTACGTTTTAAGTTATGCTCCAGACAAGGAAAAGTATCAAAGGGCAATAACTCTGTATTTTGTCAAAATGGAGTTATGGCTCTTATGCACTGCACTTCCTTTTAATGTCCTTGACAACTGTATGAAGTTGTACTGAATTCCAAACAGTAGTTTTCAAGTTATGCTCTGGACAAGGAAAAGTAACAAAGGGCAATAACTCTGTAATTTGTCAAGATGGAGTTATGGTTCTTGTGCACTGCACTTCCTCTCAATGTGCTTGACCATTGTATGAAGTTATATTGAATTCCAACCATTAGTCTTCAAGTTATGCTCCGGACAAAAAAAAGCAATGGAAAAGTAACAAAGGGTAGTAACTCTGTAATTAGTCAAGATGGAGTTATGGTTCTTGTGCACTGCACTTCCTCTCAATGTGCTTGACCATTGTATGAAGTTATAATGAATTCCAACAATTAGTCTTCAAGTTATACTCCGGACAAAATAAAGCAATGGAAAAGTAACAAAGGGCAATTACTCTGTAATTACTTTAGATAGAGTTATGGTTCTTATGCACTGCACTTCCCCTTACTGTGTTTGACAATTGTATGAAGTTGTTTTGAATTCCAACCAGTGATTTTCAAGTTATGCCCCGGACAAGGAAAAGTAACAAAGGGCAATAACTCTGTAATTAGTCAAGACAGAGTTATGGTTCTTGTGCACTGCACTTACTCTCAATGTGCTTGACCATTGTATGTAGTTATATTGAATTCCAACCATTAGTCTTCAAGTTATGGTCCGGACAAAAGAAAGCAATGGAAAAGTAACAAAGGGCAATAACTCTGTAATTACTTTAGATAGAGTTATGGTTCTTGTGCACTGCACTTCCCCTTATTGTGTTTGACAATTGTATGAAGTTGTTTTTGAATTCCAACCAGTAGTGTTCAAGTTATGCCCCGGACAAGGAAAAGTAACAAAGGGCAATAACTCTGTAATTAGTCAAGATAGAGTTATGGTTCTTGTGCACTGCACTTCCTCTCAATGTGCTTGACCATTGTATGTAGTTATATTGAATTCCAACCATTAGTCTTCAAGTTATGGTCCGGACAAAAGAAAGCAATGGAAAAGTAACAAAGGGCAATAACTCTGTAATTACTTTAGATAGAGTTATGGTTCTTGTGCACTGCACTTCCCCTTATTGTGTTTGACAATTGTATGAAGTTGTTTTGAATTCCAACCAGTAGTTTTCAAGTTATGCCCCGGACAAGGAAAAGTAACAAAGGGCAATAACTCTGTAATTAGTCAAGATAGAGTTATGGTTCTTGTGCACTGCACTTCCTCTCAATGTGCTTGACCATTGTATGTAGTTATATTGAATTCCAACCATTAGTCTTCAAGTTATGGTCCGGACAAGGAAAATGCAACGGACGTCTGGACCGACCGCCCGACCGACCACCGGGTGACTCCTATATACCCCCCTAAACTTCGTTTTAGGGGGTATAATAATGCTTACCTACATGAATACATAAAATTGTCCAAAAAGGTACAAAGGCTTGTTATTTAGATGTTTTATCGAGTTAATCACTGCTTTATTATTATGAATGCATAAAACTGTTCTAAAAAAGGCACAAACCCTTCAGTAGTTATGGAGATACCAGCTTACAAGCAAAAACTTTACCTAGAATTTCTAAGCCCAAAAAGGCGCACAATTATGCCAAAAAAAAAAAAAATCAGAGTTATGGGACTTGTGCCAATCATGTAAAATACCCACAGAGAACAAGTGTGTAAAGTTTCAATCCATTCCCTTCAGTAGTTCTGGAGATACCAGCTTACAAGCAAAAACTTTACCTAGAATTTCTAAGCCCAAAAAGGGGCATAATTATGCCCAAAAAAAATCAGAGTTATGGGACTTGTGCAAATCGTGTAAGATACCCACAAAGAACAAGTGTGTAAAGTTTCAATCCATTCCCTCCAGTAGTTCTGGAGATATCAGCTTACACACAAAAACTTAACCAAGAATTTCCAGGTCGAAAAAGGGGCATAATTATGCAAAAAAGCAAATCAGAGTTATGGGACTTGTGTCAATCATGTAAGATAATCACAGAGAACAAGTGTGTGAAGTTTCAATCCATTCCCTTCAGTAGTTATGGCGATACCAGCTTACACGCAAAAACTCAACCACAGGGACGCCGACGCCGACAAATGGGTGAGAGCATTAGCTGGATTATTCTGCGAATAGTCAAGCTAAAAAGGACCATAACTCCAAAATATAGCTTTTAGAATTAAACCCCTGGTTTTAACAACTGTACCTCATCATGATAAGCAAGTATTGCAAGTTTCATAAAATCGCCTTTTAAACTGTTTGAGTAAACCTGTTTGGGCTAAATTAATGTTTTCATAATGATGTTGCAGAGATCATAAAAGATTTACTTTTTCTTTAAAACACACCAGCTTAAAAGTCTAAGAAACAACATAATAAGTAATCATTACATAATAACCTGCAATTAAATAATATAATGAATATTTTTGTCACTAACTTTTTTTGATTTTCGTCTCTCCTTTTTTACATCTTCAGACATATGATATTGTTTGGCTTTTGAGACACGTTTCTTTTTATATATCTGTGAATAAATGTGATAAATTTAATAATGTAAAATAGGCAATTAACACATAAATATTTGCGAATCAGTAAAAAATACTACAATTAATGTTAGTGTGATAGATTCTATATTCATAAAAAATATATTTTCTTTTAATCCTCATATCTTGAATTTTTTGCATTAGAATTAGTCAGACATTACTATAACTGATGCCAAATGATGCTATTCATTTGGTGCAAAACCAAATTGAAATATTCAAGAAGTGTAAAGGTATTTATGGATGGCACTCTATATCAATGACATAGCTCACAGATTACTTTTTCCACAAATACCATGAAAAGGATAGCAGTTAAACTTTAAATTAACACTGTGCAGAAATACCATGAAAGAAAGAAATTGGCAAAAAGCCAAAAAATTAACCAGAAATCAAATGAAGAAAAACTAGCCTACTGCTATAAAAAAAACTTACAGCTTTTTGCTCCTCTTTTAATCTCCTCTCAAATTCTTCTTTGGCTTGTCTGAGTGGTTCCTTTAATTTACTGGGAATTTTCAAGAATGGTTTCTCTGTTGGTGGTAATGTGACATCGGCATAAAATCTACAACAGTAATGTACAATATGGTCCTTCAAACTGACACACTATCCGAGTAAGTATATAGAGGTATTGAATGTTTATTGAACAAGTTGAATAAAACTATAATAAGCGAGCCTCTAGCAAGCATGATATTATCTTATTTAACCAGTTCAATAAAATTAGTAATGAACTTAAACAAATGTAATATTCTATTTATCATATACCCAAAGTAAAAACTGTTCGAAGCAACATTTTTCATTGACACACCTTTAGTGTAACACTAACATTTAGCGCATTTTTACACTATGTTTGTATGATGCAAAGTATGTGACATCAAAATATATGCATGGCAGTGCCATACTGTTTTTATAGAGCTGCAAAAGTGTGATCAAACAATACATATGAAGCCTCAAATCAAGTTTGACTAACTGCTTCATTTGTAACCATTAAAAGTGTTTCATTTATCTTTTGTAAGTTTTTGCAACGGAAACAAGATTTTTTTTTCTACATGTGGAATATACATGTATGAGAACAAAATATAAAAACGATTTGCGATTGGGTGATGTAAAATAGATATAAAATGATTTTATATACAGTGTAGCAAAATCTATCATATATACAGACATAAAATTGTAAAGTCTAATTTACTATGTTTATTAAGTGAATCTTCTTTGTTTAAGTGAATCTGTTGTTATGTAAACTGTTGTCTTTATCTGTTTTATCAATAGAAAAATATTGTAATGAAGAAGTGAAAAGTATAGAAATTTGTCAATTTGTCATGGACATGCAGGCTATTTTGTACTAATAATGGTGTTATAGACCAGGCAATAAGTCCACTAGCAATTATAGCATTGATTTCTTCTATACTGAATGAATGAAATAATCTCTAATTAGAAAATCTATCAAATTTTCTAACAATACAGTATAATTATAGCATACTCACGGATGCATGAGAATATTTTGTACAGTAGGTAGGCCATTTTTACATGCTTCTGTTGTCAGAATTGATTCAAGCACTGATCCTGAAAGAAAGAGTTACTTTAGTTAAAACACTGGTGTAGAATTTTTGTTTGTTTTTTTTTAAGCAGCCTTCAGCTTTTATTTTCTTCAGGATAAACAATTCTGTGTAGTATCAAACCAATTAATTCAGCAATTTTATCTATGAAAAGTGCATCATAACACTGTAAGCCTTCCTTTAAACAGCGAATAGCAAAGAGCTATTTATAAAGTGAAAGTGACATTCGGTTCTTAAACTAGAATATCGGTAAATAAATCAACTGCCCTACTTATCTGACACCTGAGTAAAATTACTGATTAAGTACTTAAGGACGTTTTCGGGAGTTTTCATGTCAAGTTTCTATTGAACAGTTTTCATTTTGCCTATATGTCTATATGAAAGTTCCTGAAAACATCTTTGCAACAACAACAACAACAACAACAGAAAACGCAATCTGAGAGACAAATCCAATATAAATTTTTGATATACTTTTCTTAAAAGGCTATATTTTCTACAGTACAATTTTTTTGATCAACAAAATGTGTAAATACTCACTAAGCTGGGCTGGACATTGCGGGGGGAAATCATCACAACATTCTGCAGGCACTTCACGACCAAATGTCATTTCATATAAAACACAACCAAAACAATAAACATCCATCATCTCCGTCGTCTAAAAATGGAACAAGAATAAATATCTATTTGAGCTTTTCAAGTTTCTAACCATTCTATAAGTTTCTAATCATTCTAAAAGTAAAACAGTGCTTAGAGCCTGGATAATGTAAAATTTTCTAAGTTCAAAAAGAGCCGTACTTCTGTCAAAATCCATGTAAGATATATGGGCCTTGGTGAAAATACTTACTTGAATTTTTTTGAACTGTAAAATATTCTGTCTATAGTAGCATGGTAACCCTAGCAACCAATTTTCAAGGTCTAACAGTTTACAGTTGTCTTTATCTATAACAATATTCCCAGTATGTAAATGACCTGAAATAATTTAACATATTTTAAAGTTCAAATATTGCATTAATTATAACAATACAAATTACAAAATAATTTAGGACTACTGATTAGTTTTACTCCAAACATTGCCATAATGATGATCGAGCCACATTTTGTTCAAACTGGCTTGCATTTATTATTTTGCTACAAATCAAAGCATAAATATGAAGTTATAGAAATGGCAAGAGGTAGAACTTGCTATTGTCAGAAAAAAAATCCATCGGAAGCATTCATCGCAACAAAATTACATGAAATTGCTGACTCACTTTGATTGAATCTGTACACGAGGGATAATGATAAAGTGCAGAACCCTTGTTAAAGAATAAAAGTAAAACCCTTGTTTCTGCATATAGAAATCTAATTGCTACTAACAAATATATATAGATTGATACAAATGTTTATTTTGTTGGGTTTTAAGTCATACTAATACTGGGAAGGTTATATTACAGATTTATTGGTAGAAGAAGAAGGCATGAGCTAGCTAGATGTTTCCTCACATGAACAAAAATTCATAGTCTCTGTCAAGATTTGAACCCACAGTTGTGAGAGGCAAGCAATTTGAAGTCACAAAATAGTATAACACTGGCAAATAAATCTTGAAGCCATATTATAAACATAATTTTTAGCAAATGGCTAAAGATAGAGCCCAGAGTTAGCTATTTTCATCACATGGCCAGAAAGGTTTCAATTTAAAAATAGAGGATTGACCCCCAAACTGCAGTAACTTATATGAAATAAAGAGTGACTTACAGCAGTTTTGCCATCAACCCTCGAAATGAGATGAGATTTCCAACGAAAACACATACATGAATATTAGTACTTTTTTTAATGAAAAAATTAAATATATTCTTACCATAAGGCAATCCTTTTTCATGAAGTAAACTTAATGTCTCTAAAACCTGTTTGCTCACTATTTTAATCATATTTTCATCTAAACTTGTTATTTTTAAAGGATTTGCGTATTTCTTCAGAAACTGTCCCTTTGGTTTACATTTACATATATAGTCTCTAATTGTTCCACGTTCACTAAACGGCCTTATCACTAATCCTCCACTTTCATTGGACGTTGATAAAACTGGTGAATCTATGTATGGGTGCTGAAATAAATGATTAAAACAAAATTTATCAATCAAATTCTCATTTTTGCGTAATGTGACTACTTTTTGGTAATTTACTTGGATTACAAGAGCTGTTTGCAAAGTGTAAATTACTTTTTTTATTCACTTCACAATATCTTACTTTTGAAATATATTATAATAATTTTCAAGAAAATGAGCATGAATCTAGAGGCGTCCTGCTTTAAAGCATATATTACAACACTACCTTGATATTTTGAATGACTGTCATAAGAGCACTGAGCTCCTTGTCCGGCAGATATCTGTCCGGTCCATACTCCACCTATAAAACAAAATCATACATGTGCATAAGATAATTTTGTAAAAGCCTTTCTCTAGTTTCATATTCATAAAGCATAGTTATAGAAACATGTTAAACCATGAATGGTTCTTGGTTTTTTGGAATCAACAATGACATTATACCACAAAAATATAGTCATGTAGCAAGGTATTTGAAGTCAGCAACCTTTACCATGCAACCTCCGAGGCTGGCTCACATTTTAAGTTTCAATAAGTTACATAAATATATAAAAAAAAGAAGATATGTCAATGAACAAAATGATGATCTCTAAAATTTCACTTCAAGGAACATTTAAGAATACAATGGCAAGAACATAAAGATATATACCCAAGATAATATCTGTCTGGTTTTTGAGCTGGCTACAGGTTTGACTAGAATATACTCTTTCCTAATTCTCCAACCTGTAAAATATGAACGATAAATTTTGAAACAGTATTATATTGACAATGCTAGCATTTCAATCCTTATCCTGTGTGACATGTAATACAGATGAAAGAAAGTAAGTCAAGAGCGGGAAATTATACATAGAAAAATCAGCATGCGGCAGCCGGGACTAGGACCATGGGTCTTTGGATTGCCAAGCCAGTACGCTTATGACTACACCACAGCGGCTGTTGAGTTTTACTTGTGCTAATTGACTTTAATTCAGTTACTTTTTCAGTTAATTGTGACGTCATGACTTTAATTACCATAGCAACAAGCTTTTTATAACTACTTTTATCTCTGTTGGCTGAATCAGTCATAATATTGGTTTTATCAATGATTTTTTCCCCGATATGGAATGTTGTCTTAAATGAGGTAAAGTAATAAAATTTATTTTATCCAGACAATGACATTTAAGTTTGACACCATTATGCTAAAAAATTTGTTATAACAGACTGATTAGAATTTGTAATAATCCTGATATGAGCCGTGTCATGACAAAACCAACATAGTGCGTTTGCGACCAGCATGGATCCAGACCAGCCTGCGCATCAGCGCAGTCTGATCAGGATCCATGCTGTTGGCTTACAAATCCTATAACAAGTAGAGAAACTGATAGCGAACAGCATGGCTCCTGATCAGACTGCGCGGATGCGCAGGCTGGTCTGGATCCATGCTGGTCGCAAACCCATTATGTTGGTTTTGTCATGACACGGCTCATATATTTTAAGCAATTTCAGAATCAAAATAGGAAACATATAGTTTGGTCATATATGTGTCAGGCAAGTCAGGCAAAGGCAAGATCACCACTGGTATTGAAAGTGTTAAAGTAACAAAGTTTTTACCTATTTCTGGCAGTGGTTCAACTACCTCCCACTGTTTCTCTGACCGTAACACCATAGAAACATGCTGCAATGCTGTCTCTGAAAAAAAAAAGTCCTGAATAAAAATGTATTTTTACCTTTTATAGTGTTATGATATCTGAAAATGTCAAAGAAATAAGCAATTAACTATATCTTAAAAGGCAGCAATATCTCTATTTTTATAGCTGCAAATCCAAACAAAGTGGTTTGTGCTTAAACAAAATTATAAACTATTTTTAGACAGTTGCCTACAAAATGGCTCAAGATTGCAAAAGTATAAAATCAAAGCAGGGTAAGAGTGGCAAAGTTTTTAATAGCTGTAAGTCTGAAGGGAAAGCATCAAAATCATGACATACAGAGACCAATTACAAAACTTACCTGTAAAATTTATAGTGTAGTTATCAGGATCCAAAAATCTTTTTACAGGTAAACTATTAGCCAGGATTGGTTTGCTTAGAATGGCCTTCATGTAGGCCTGAAAGAGAGAAAATATTTTCTATTACCAAACAAGCATCCATTTTTAAGTGCTTATCATCCATATAAAAATTAATCACAAAAATGCAAGAAACATGTTTTTCTTCACATTGAATTTGTTTCTTCTGCTGTCAATTTTGTGAACAGGAAATCAATATTCAAATTGTATATATCATTTTAATTTGTGTTGTTGTGTAACTGAATACAATTTACCTTGGATTAATAGTACATGCAACACAAAAAGATTTCTAAGCCTTTAATATCACATTAACATATTTCTAAGCCTTTAATATCGCATTAACAAATAGTTGTTACTGTTACGGTGACTTTCAAACTTTGACTAGTGGAATATAACCTAAAGCTGTATTAAACTCAAACTAACAATGCCCAGGGACAGGTGATTCAAAGTAAGCAAAAAAGATGCAGCCTGACCGGGGGCTTGAGCCCCAGTACCTTGGAATACCATACTGTGACTCTACCAACTGAACTTTCTGACTGCTTACATATTTAAACCGGTTCTCGACCCTTTTTCATATTGTCACAGGTTTACCGTTACTGTACATTTAGGTTCTCATTGACCGCCGTACAGTGACCTACTTTTGGCTCAAAATTCATATCTTTGGCTTATACTCCGTGCAAATTGAATGGAGGTAAATTATCACCACTTTGTGCTTCAAAATTAACTCTTTAAGGGCATAACTGGTGACATGTCTGGGGTCCGTACTCGACAGCGAAAGCTGCATTTTGCGCCTGAAAGGGCGGATGGACCCTCATTAAGCATTATCTACATATATACATATCAGTTCTCAACCATGATAAATCCTGAACAACTAGGCTAATAAATTGTTGTATAATTACTATGATATAAGATCATTAGAAATGTGAATTTGTACCTGTAAACCTTGTTGTCTTTCGGCAACAAACTCCCGGTCAAAATTACCAAACACTTTCTTTGGTGGTAGGGGTAAATTGACATTGGCTATTTTTAGATCAGTATCCAAAGTTGTAAAATCTGAGTATCTCTTCTTCAGTGGCCAACACAGTTCTGATGTCAAACCTCTTTGGACTTTTAATGTGTATTCCTATAGAAAATATGATTGAAACAACGTTAGGGGCTTAAATTCAAAACAGTGAAATTATCAAAGTGGTAATTTCACTGTTTCAAACAGTGAAATTACCAGTTTTATATCACTGATATATTTCTATAAACCACTGAAAATCATGTAATAAAAACAGGTTATTGCAATGGAACATAAACTTAAAGGCTGCTTTAATTGAACAGGGTGTTCCAGTTCATCAGGCAAATAATAACATAAATTTTATCACAACTGCTTTAATTGGAACTATTATGGTTTCAAATGAAAGGTGAATGATTAAAGATTTTCTTAGTACTTGCATAGGTAATATGCAACATCACAGTAATGTTTCATGATGCGATCAGTTTATGTCAGATTTTTAACTTTTAAGTATTATAGAAACATTCAATTGAATATGTTGTTATTTGTTGAATAAGTTTTGATATGGACAACCAAGGAAATCAGTAATGTTTTTTCATATATTTTACAGCCAAATTAAGGCTGTTTCTCCTAGCTTAAAAATAAGTTTTTTCACATAAAAATGCTATATTTTGCCTTGAAATTCCCTGTGCACATTCTTCACCAGAGCCATGACTTAACAGCAGCTGACTTTTATCAGCCAGTTGTTAAATTTATTTGACTGAAAGACAGAAAGCTGTAGGTAGTCTCTGCTATGTGTCATGCACCTTAAATTTAATTGAAATTGAAAAATTTATAAAATGTAAATTCAATTCTCAGTGTTGGAATTTGATTTCAAGATTTCCCCTTTTCTGAGTTATTGTGCTATATTTTACCCTTTAGAAAGCCACGTTGGATATTTCCCCTGCTATTTTAGTGCAAAATCAAAACAACTGCAATTGACCAAGTGGTCAAACTAATTAAGCGGATCCCGAAAATAATCAAGTGTGAATGCATTTCTGTTACCATGCCGATATTCTGTTCCTAGGTGTTATTTTGAAAAAGATTGTACTTTTAAATATAAGTAAAAAGGTAGGGATGTGGGGCAGAAACCCCCAAGCAAGTTACCTATCTATGTATGTATACTGCAACACCCTCTTTCGAGTATTATGTGCAGGTATCTAAAAGTACAAATGTACAAAAAAATGTATGACCCATTTTACCTGTGTTTAAATAGCAAACAGGTACTGTTGGACAAAAACATGGCCTATTAAAAATGATCTTGATATCCCTTTGACAAGCCTAATTATTCACACATATAATTTACCGGGGTCTACTTACCCCTACTTAAATAATTTACCGGGGTCTACTTACCCCTACTTAACTACATGTAGATGTGTTCACAGGGAGGCATACACAGAAGTTAAAACTCTGCTCAACACAATGCTACCACCAGTGTTCTCCCAACTAAGGAGGCAGCACGGTCTCAATATTTCGATTGTAAGACTGACCGATTTTACAATCTGATATTGCGTAGATGTCTGTCTTTTACAAAGGTTGCCGACTGCCTATATTATAAAAAGTGCTAAAGCGCACAATTTGTTGGGCAAGGGGGCAGTTTAGCAGCTGAGACTGGTAGGAGGGCAGATTTTTCAATTAACTGGTGCATAAACTAGCATGAAACATGATTATACAGCGGTAAGAAGTATCTGGTCAAAAATTTAAATGCTTACCACATGATCTTGAATTTTCTCCCCACTCTCAACTACACATATCAGCGGTGTCGTGTCATCAATCGACAACTTCACGGATTTTTGTTTCTCGATTTTCTTGGATGCCATACCGAGACACTATTGTCAACACTATAACGAACACTTCAGACTCTCCAGATGTAATATTTTCATTCTCTACGAGAAATTGCTGCGCAAAATCGAAAGTAGGCGTATCGCTAACGTAAAGCAAATTTTGTTTAATGTTGCAAAATCCAACTTTGAATTTCTAAAATAGTAAATCATGGACAACAACACGATTTAAACTTACATTATACAGAAACAAATTGAGTTAAAATGATATTTTTATAACTATTGCTCCATCTGTTTTTGTTTTTAAAAAAGAAAGTGTTGTCGTAAAATAACAAACAAGATCAAAATGTCAACAAAATTTTTGGGTTTAGTTGTTAGGAATGTTTTTAAGTCCCAGGAACAATGTCAGCGATTAACCAGGGTCGGATTTTGTACTAAAACATCAGACACATCAGAGGAATTTAGTGTGCAATATTTGGAAGACGGTATGACATCAAACTACTTTAGTTACCTGTTAAGTATACCATATTTCGGATAGGACATTATATACATGCACTGTAACTTGTTTGCAGTGTTGTGCTTAATTGTGTTGTTGCAACTCATTTGTATAATAGTGTATGGATAAATACTGAATCAATATACATGATAATTATACAAGAATCTTCAATTCATGTCAGTTCTCATAACATGAAAAAGGCAAAGCCTCAAAGATGGGACATACGTTATTCAAAGCGAGTTCGGTTTACATTTACCGTGAAATAGTATAAAATACTCTTTCATTTTTATTTTACATTTTCCGTTTTAAAATTGTCATTCGGTATTTTACAGGGCTCGAGCTAGTGGGCGATTCGGGCGAAATAGTCGCCGAATTCCGTCTGACTTCGCGACATCCTACATGAAAACGATTTTATTGATCCATTATTGAAAATTACCAACAATAACAATAACTGTGAATAACATGTTGTGTGTGTTTGCTTTGTTTACCCTCGCTGCCGGAAAAAGGGACTGTCATGCATCTCAATCAACGCGAAATGTCATTAATCCGTTTGTTTACCAACATGTCATAAAAGTCTAATTAACAGACACTCGAGGAACAATTAGACTCCGCCCACGGCGAGATTACTGATACGTGCGAGAAACCAATCGTAATTCACGTTTTAATCGAGGCGACATTATTAAACCAATCATTAAATCGCTAACATACAACTACCCGTAACAATTATTTATGATGGACGGATCAAACATCAATTAAATTTTCACTATCGAATGATTGTCAGAATTAAGAGGACCGCTCAACATATAACTGTAACGGTAATTTTAAATGAAAGTTATGATAACCTTTTTTGTCGACAAGTTAAATTTGATAAAATTGACGGCGTATTACACTGTATTTATTACAAATGAAGTTAAATTAAAGATCGTTTCTTTCGTTATCTACTTTCATTTTTTTTACAACATAAGTGAATATGAATATAATGTCCGGCGCAAGCTTTTTAATAGTAAATCAGAAGGGAATAACTGTTAATCCACCCATGATATGATCCATGATAGGAATCAACTATGGCTTTTTTATCTTCATTTAATGCAATGGTTGCATTACATGATACTCATTCTTATTACTTGTTTCAAACTACTTTTAAATTAAAATTGAATATTCTGTTGTAACACAAATCCAATTCATTTAATAAGATATGTACAGTGAGTCAACATAATTGCGATAACATACAACAAACATCGATAAATGAATCTCCTCACTTCTCCCTAAAGTCTCCCCACTTCTCCCTAAAGCAGCTGGAGGGAGAAGTGACTTGACTTTTCCCTAAATTTTGAACCTAGCTTGAGCCCTGTTTTATACACTGCTTCCGTTTATTCTGGTTCCCTGTCCAATTATGGTTCCCATAGAAGTGCGCGGGTGACCAGTCTACACATCCGTTTTCAGTCACAATTCCTCAGATTTTATCGTTATTTTTAAATTCGAAAAGTTGTGATGTGTCAATTCAGTACTTATGACCAAAGTTTTCAAAACCATCACTTAGCAGGTACTCGCGTTACCATAAAGCTCGCTTTGCGAGCTCGCTATCAAAGACTTTGATACATGTAATTCAGTGATATGTGAATGACAATCTCAGGATTAGACCTAGTCCAACTAATTGTACTGTGCGACAAGATATTATGCTATTTTGTGTCTGGGCAATATCTCGCCTCTACATAGAAGTGAGATTCTGACCCAGAACAAAAAAATCTCAGAATCTAGCTTTGGCACGTCAATATTATTTTGACTAGGATTAGACCCCTCTGTATATTTCAGGAATATAGTAAATTAAAGAAAAATGCTCATGGCTGTGAACGGTTTGACCCATTTGATTGTTTTATTCCTACTGTCAAACCGTTGGAAAAAGACACCACCTATTCAGAAAATATCTTGATGTCTAATTAGTTGGACAAATGGCTGTCTTTAACAAGATATCATTTACAAGGTTGACCAGATACTTATTATTATTATTATTATTGTCATTCCTGTGACACATGATCTTGTTAAAGAGCATGTCAAAACAGGAAAATACATGCTTGTCTAAATATATAGGATTTGATACATGATCCCCATACCCTGGGTACTGCAATAAATTGTAATAAAAATGACTTACTTACATTGATTTATTTTACTTACATTAATTATTGCATCTTTACTTATGACATTTATTTAACATTTAGGTCAATCTGACAATTAGCACGTATTCCTACTTTGTATTACCATGGGACAATATTGATTAATTTTTTAGTTATAAAAATAAATCTACAGGGTGTCAATAATTATAGATACATTAAGTCATGCTTGCAATATCAAATTAGATCTATTTAATAGTACTAAAACCTTGTCCCCTTGTAAAAGAGTTAAACAGAAAGTTAAATTTTTATACCAAGTATCAAAGATGTATTCAATTTCATTGGAAATAACTGAAATATTTCATGACAGCAGCTTATTGTTGATAAATTTGTTAACTAAATCTTGTTAAAGTTGTCTTTGCTGAATTAATTTTAATTTTCTACTGTTGAAATTCCCCCTTGAGTGAAAAATATTTGAAAATCATGCAAAATCCCCCCCTCCCCCTTTTGCATGGGCCCTTGACCCAGTCTCAAAATGCAATAATAAGAGCATTTTTTTGGCATTCATGTAAGAATTAAGAAAACAAGTTCAAAAATGCCTCTATTCAGCTCTATATTTTTGCAAATTAAATATAACTTGATTAATAATTGGTTATCAAGCAGAATTTGTTGTTAAGTGTGCTAAATGAAACACATTAAAACAAGCTTGTAGATAAATTAGAAAGTTCTTTTTATATTCATAAAAAACTGCTGTGAACATGTAACATCAAATTTGATACAGGTGAGGTCAACATTGAACACTGATAACAGTAACCCAAAGTCTGTCTTACAACTGATTAAAGTCAACAAGATATAAATTAAATCTGTCATTGTAAAAGTACAGCTGACCATTTTGATTTTACTACATAACGATATTGCTTGATTAGGACACATTTCCTTCCAGAGGATTTTTTTTTAAAGCTGGCCCATGATAAAGTTGCAAAAAGTTTGTTGTTGCAGAGCTGGATGATTATGTTGCAAAAAATGTGAGTCCTGGTCCGACTGCGAAATTTTCTTATCCTTGTTTTTTCTGGTTTTAAACTTTTAAAGCATACGAAGATATTTCATAATCAAGTAATTATATAAACAAGTGAAAATACAATAAACAACATATAAGAGTCCTTATTTATTTACTGGACTTGTTTTCTAGAGAAACAAATCATAGACATAAATGTATATAAACATATAATAAACAATGTCCAAAAGTAAACAAAACAGTAAAAATGCCAGCATGTTACTAGTAAAATAAAAAAGACTAGTACATGCAATTTCACTATGATTTAAAAATAATACAAAAAGCATATTGTTTATTTGACAATGAAAAACCCACAGTTGCTCACTAAAAGCTCCTCTAGGTTCTTAAATGTTAAAATTTCACTCAATAAACACTAACATATTACATGTATGTACAAATTGTAACATATACAAAGGTAACATCCTCTCAGAGGAGAGCTTTTTTGTTCTGAAACAAATTAATAATGTATTCTATAAAAACAATGCAATGAACAACTTTTCTAGATACTGAAATAATGAAAAAATGACTTGAATCTATGAGTATGCACATTTAGATTAACTTTTAGCTTCACAGAGGCAACTGTTTCACCTATACGACCAGTGCAGACCAAGATTAAGTGGCACATTCATGTCTAAAAATGATGAATGGTTTTGATTTACAAGTCTATTGAAAATATTTAGTGTAGAAAAGTTATGTCAAGATAGTGCCCTTTAAAATAAAAGTTCTATAACTTGGTTTAAACATATTTATTTTAGCTCGATTGCGAAACAAGTTCTTGCAACTTATATTAATCACTTTCGAGTCCACTTCCTGGAACCAACCAGTACTGGTGTCATATGAAGAAACATGGTCGTGACCCGTGTAGGGCTCGAACCCATGATCTCTGGGTTGAGAGGCAGACACCTTAACCACTAGGCCACCGCTCCCCCTTCTATAACTTAATAACAAAATGCATTATTATTGATTTTGTCAATAGATTACATGTACACTCTCCTATGAAATTTAACCCGTATTGTTTTACAAAAATTTTATCTTTTGATTTAAGACACCATCTTATAACAGTTCAGTCCTATTAACAAAAAATCCTAAATTGATAAAGAAAGTAAAAAAAAAAAAAAAAATATACTGGTAAATTCCGAAAAGATGCAAATTTATATTGTTTTATGTTTTTTTTTAAAAAACATTTATTGTGTGACATTTTGTTTGCATTTCAATGAGTATTATCATGTACAAATTTACTAGTTCCCAAATATATCTGTTACAGGGGCCATTGCTGTATTTAACTTGAACAGACCTGCAGCTAGGAATGCTATCAGTAAAAGTTTAATGACAAAGGTATTTATAAAATATTCCCACTTTGTACTCATTGAAAAACACAATTATTCTGTCATATAACATGATTTTTTTAAAATATCTGTTTCATAATCATATCAATTTTCTTAACATTGAAGTATAAAGCTATATAATGTTTATTGAGATATTTGAGACAGTATACATGTTATGATGTATATATATATAATTATATATAGTATTTTAAATTTTTCATTTTTGAGAAACCCGTAAAAATCTGTCTAATGCCCTAGTGGTCAGTATGCTTGAAAAAATGTCATGCTGCTGTAAGATAAATTTTTTAATTTTTTTTTTGCTTTAAAGTTTGTGAGAAATATATTGATATAAGTCAGTATATGTTGAAAGCATTTAACAAAACCTTAAAAAAAAGTAAAATACATGGACTTAATAAGATTCCACATACCAGTAATTATACGCTGTACTTTTTAGAAAAAATTCTAGCTAGCGTGCATAGATGTTAAAACAGCACATGGAAAATTCCAGCAAAGATCTGACAATAAATTGTTTCTTAAACAAATTTAAATGTTTATATAATATATCAAACTCTCGAAAAAAAGTCTTAATTCTTTTTAAGTTTTTGATGTTTTGAGTTGTTTTCCTAATGTTTATAGCTGCCAATGTTTTTGATGAAAATATTTGGTGATTTTTTTTTGGCCTATCCAAATGTAAAAATCTAAACAGGTGGGGTTTCAGAAATCCTGCGGCATTTCACGCAGGATGAGCCAATTCTGATACGCAGAAATGTTTAAGATATTTGTCTCCAGGTATGCCCCTTCCTTACCAAGAACCAGTGCTCTGTCCAAATATGATGTGGCCAGGAACAAATCTTCATCTTGAAGGGTTCTCGCCTTACAGAGGGAGTAAATCATTTCCCGACGACTTTCAATTTTTTCAAAGTTTTCGGCCAATTTGTTGAGACGCTGTTTGGCTACATTCAAATGGCCATCATCAATTTCGATAGAATGATCTACGCTGAAATCGTCTCTAATTCCAAGTAAAGTTTGTGTAAGGTTGAGCAGAAATACTCGCTGAATAAGTTTTGTATCAGACTGGTTCAATTCGGTTAAAACATCGAGCCCAAGGTGACAGTGCTCCAACGCATTTACTAGATTTTCTTTACTGGGGTTTTTTGAGTATAGACATCTGTATATGTAGTGTAAATAGTAATAATTAAATGCCCTAATGTAAGAAGTTTTGCATGTAAAACACAATGCCTTGATCTGCCGAATGTGATGATGTGCTTCATCTGCATTTCCACTTTTAACGCAAGCCACACCAAAATTACTATGGTAAAGCATATCTGAATAGGTTGTGTCTAGATCTGAAGGTATGGTGGTCTTCATTTTGACAATTATTTCTTCTTTGGTTTTATTGTTGGCATAAAATGTGGAACGAAGTTGCATGAGTGTTGCATATCTGTCAGCTGTCAGTTGTTTTTTAGCCCTGTTTTTCTCAAACAGCAGTTCCTGCTCTAAATTGTCTGCAAATGTGCGAAATCCATTTTTTCTGTCATGTAACATGTTGTCATCGCTTAGTCTTTTCATCATGGAGTAATATTTAACAATATTCGACCCACCCGGAACATGGCGCCCCTCAACCCAGTATATTTGACGGTGGTATCTCTCGACTTGCAGTTCGTCTGCAAAGCTCGCACAATTTATTGTGTACAGAAATCGTACAAAGTCTCTGAAGGACATAATTTCCAACACATCTGATATGAATGTAGCAAAATCTGAGTCAATTTCAGTAGAAAATTTCTGTACAAGGGACTGGTATTGTAATTTTGTTATCAGATTAGTTCCATGTAAAGTTTGTATTGCACTCAACAGATCCATTTTCACATCCATGTAATGGGGTGCTACTGTTTCAATTGCACGTATATCTTCTTCAGCCAAGTATTGAGATTCAACAATGCTTCCTGATTCCATTTTTATTGCTTTTGAATTGTATAAATATAAACAACTTAACCCAATTCTCAAAAAACACAGGAAATGTCTTTTTAAGTCCTTCTTTAAAACACTATCTGGGAGCGTAATATTATGCAGCTTCCTTGTAACCACACTATGTCATTCAAGGTTAAACATGTGAAGATCATTTACAGTAAGTTTCACATTTGGAAAGAGAAGGGACTTTTTATGATATTCTGGGAACCCATATTTTATATTTATAATATATATTTGTAAGTGTTGCATCATGCAGTAGCAGTTTTCAATATCCCAAAAATTGATAATGGACAGTTCCAAAAATGGAAGGTGGACAAGTCAATGTAAGGTTAAGGGTGGTTACTAATTTCAATATTACAATGTTAAACACAATTTTTATTATGATTAGCAGAAAATACTGACAGGAATTGTGATCTATGTAGCTTTTTTACATTGAAACCCCCTTGAATATAAAATGGACAGTTCCCAGCACAAAGCAAGGCAAGTCCAATGTAACAAAATTAGGGTTGTATAAGGATTAATAAAAATAGATAAGAAATAGATGAAAATAGCAATAAAGTTGACTTACAGAGTTTGTTTAAAAGTTATGTGGGCAAATAGTTTTTATTTGATGTTTATGTAAGGAATTCCAATGTTATCTGAAGGTGCTCACATCGTCTGTTTAATATAATTTTTTGCAGTGATTTATTTTAAGATCATCATTATGAATTCCAGGAATCAACTGGTTTATTTCTTATTTTAAGCTTTTGGATTGACTCCAAAATACATTCAACGTGGAGAATTATGTCTTACATAAATATAGCTCAGTCGTGGTTTTTCCAATACCATTTCATGGAGTTAAATATAGAATTAGTATAAGATGTATACATGACATCTGTGACTATTTTTAGAACAAAATGCTACTTAACATTCTTTACCAGCTTCAATTATATCTTGTAAATCATGCATTTTACTGAAGTGCTTCCTATGGAGCAAAAAATGTTTTAATACTGTTACTATATATTAAAGGCACAATTAATTGATATATATGCCTTTAGAAACAAATAAATATTTACTTCTTTAGAAACATGACTTTTATAATGTTTATAATGTTTAATTGAATAATGGTTTTAGAGAAATGTTAGATCCTTAGATCCTTGTTACCTGAAAAAAGTAGTGATAAATGTGAAATGATTTGTCAGAAATTAAGTAGCAAAATGTAAAGAAAGCAATATTTTTACTTTCACACAAAATACTCAATTATTACCAAGAAGTAACAGATGAAAAAATGGTTCAGGTAATTGGCCAACTGAATGAGTAACTTTTTGGATGCTACTTAAGTACACCAAAATTATAAGGCTTTTAAGAAGAAGTAAAGATAAAAGCATTTCTGAGACATAAAGGGCCTTTAAAGCAAGAAGTATATTAAAAAAAGATACTCTAATAAACCTTATTTAAATATTTTGCATTATTTCTAAGTCAGTTTTGCATTAGTTCGAAGTCAGAATACTTGAATGTAATTTATTAAAATGGACCAATAAGAAATTGAGCTTTTAACATTGAAAAAGAAATTTGCTTGCACTTTTTCAGATGCTACTGGGGTCCTACATATTACCGGACAAAATATGAAGTTTTTGTGTCACCTTGAAAAAGGCGACATATAGGGATTACTTTTGTCGGCGGCGTCGTTGTCGGCGTCCCCTTAAGCTTGTCCAGAGCATAAGTCAGTCATTATAAGTTGGATTGACTTCAAACTTGGTATGCATGCTTCTTATAATGACCGGAAGTGCAGTGCATAAGAACCGGTACTCTGCACTTCCTATTTTTTGAGTTATTGCCCTTTGTTAAATTTCATACTTTATTTTTGTCCGGGCCATTACTCCTAAAGTATAAAAGCTATGGACTTGAAACTTCATAGGATGATAGTTCTCATTAAGAAGAAGTGCAGTGCACAAGAACTGGTACTCTGCATTTCTTATTTTTTGAGTTATTGCCCTTTGTTAATTTTCATACTTTATTTTTGTCCGGGCCATTTCTCCTAAAGTATAAAAGCTATGGACTTGAAACTTCATAGGATGATAGATCTCATTAAGAAGAAGTGCAGTGCACAAGAACTGGTACTCTGCATTTCTTATTTTTTGAGTTATTGCCCTTTGTTTATTTTCATACTTTATTTTTGTCAGGGCCATTTCTCCTAAAGTAAAAAAGCTATGGACTTGAAACTTCATAGGATGATAGATGTCATTAAGAAGAAGTGCAGTGCCCAAGAACTGGTACTCTGCATTTCTTATTTTTTGAGTTATTGTCCTTTGTTTATTTTCATACTTTATTTTTGTCCAGGCCATTTCTCAATAATTATAAAAGCTTTAGATATGAAACTTAATAGGATGATAGATCTTATTGATAAGAAGTGCCGTGCACAGAAACTGCTGCTCTGCATTTCTTATTTTTTGAGTTATTGCCCTTTGTTGATTTTCAAATTTCATTTTTGTCCTGGCCATTTCTCCTAAACTACATTGTTTACAAGGCGACACATCCAACTCGCGGAGTTCTAGTTTATCTGTAACTTTTATTTAAAATAATAAAAAAAAATGGAATTTTTACCTAAATAATTTTGGGTTCTTAATGCACGTAAACATTCCTTTATCAAACATGAAATTAAACATTTGACCGTAGAAATGTGTCTTTAAAGAAAGGCATTGTAAGAGGAAAAAAATCGTGTAAACAACTCAATTTACCGGACATTTTGTTTCAAAATTATTTGAAGTCGTGAATTGAAATTAATCTTTAAATAACCAGCAAGGAATGGCAATGTTATATAAGATATTTGAAAAACACAGTATGTCACTAGAAATAAACACAGCAGCCATTCCTGATATGAAGAGGCCAATATATAGAATATATATAGGATGTTATTGAAATTAACCCAATTAACGTATTGATCCTTCATGATCCTTAAACGTATGAAACATTTTAATATTTAAATGGAATTGTTCCTCTGTTTTTTTGTCATATAGTTTCCTTTTGGTCATCATGTAGCATGTTACAAAGCCATAAAATCAATTTTATTTACATTTCATGTAGAGTTTCTTCCCATGGGCGTAACCCGTTTCCATATATGTTTTTTTTTAATTTGCACTTCTTTGTAAAAGACAAAGACAAGATACTGTTTAGACTTAATTTAAAATTACCTTTGTCATTAAAATATGTTACGATTGTCTCTCGAGATAACGTTGAAAAGAATTAAAAGTAAAACCTATAAAAAAACAACAAAAAAAAACATTAAGGGTCTCCATATTCAGTCCTGCACAGAACAGATAATTCCCCCGCATGACCAGGTCATGAAATAACTAGTAAACAAAAGGGCATGTTAGTAGATAAAGAACTGAATCAACAATATTTACCTGAGCGTGGTTTTGTTGTTATTTATTTTGAAATAGAAAGTGTGTGTACAATTCAGAATGTATGATTTTTGAATCAAAGCAAAAATAAAGCACTATTCAGCAGTAATAGCTTTTGTCCGGTAAACTGATTGTCCGGTAAATATGTAGGACCCCAGTATAGTTTAGATTTTAAGAAGGATTGAAGTATCAAACTGTTTATGTTTTAGCTTACAATGTGAACACATGTCTTTATCTTTTTCATGAAAAATATTTTATGGTGTTCATTTTTTTTTTCATCTTTTCATTTGATTTATGTTATGTAGATTTTTTGACTTCCATACAAAAGATACTGTACTAATTGCAAAAAGGTAAAAGAAGCAAAATATAGTTCAGCTGTATGCCTGATGAGTAACTTTTTGGTAACTGTAGTGAGACACTAAAAATAAAAGACTTTTGAGGAATAAAAATTACATCATATATCATTTTTGGGCTTAATGGGCCTTTTACCTTTAAATGGACTATTCCAAATTCCCTAGCTGGACAAGTCCATTTAAAAGATTCAGAGGTCAATGTTCATTTTCATATATATTGTTATTATTTCAAACAGTATAACCTCTGCAATGCAGCATCTTTTAGGAAACAAATATTTTGGTTGTTGCATAAAGGTGTTTGCTCTAGAGAGGTAAAATAAAGTTGAAAGTTTTACTTAGGGAGAAGTTATATTTCTGCTGTATTTGATTTTACCCATGAAATATGGTGCTATATCAGTCAAATGTATTTCATATTTTTTAGAATAAATATCAAATATAAATATGAAAGTGGGCGGAGTCAAAACTCATATTTATTTTCGCCATTTTGTTTGAAACATCTTATAAATACAAAACAACTTTTTGTTGAATTTTGCTTTGAAAACCATCTAGAATGATAGAAAATGGTCTAACTAAGAAAATAAATTCAAACACCAATATCTTTAATTCAATTATTAACACTCTACAGACGTTTAAAGAGTTGTTTACGTGACGTCACAATGTAGTGCCAAATATCGCATGCAAAACAAGACGCAATAATATATTACTGTGCGCTGTACAATTGCAGTTGCGTAGCAAGCAATGGGGTTTGTAACCATTTTTCTTTGATAATGAAATTAAATAAAGAGGTTATTTTTTCCTTTTTCATGAAATATGGTATAGATTTTCACGAAACATGATAAAAAGCCACATATTTTCACTCGCTGTCCCGGCTCGTGAAAATATGTGTCATTTTATCATGTTTCGTGAAAATATATTCCATATTTCACGAAAAACGAAAAACTATTCTCTGAGTATTTAAAAGAGGTCATTGCTCTACAGCAGAGGTTACAGACTACTACTAGGGTTGATCACAGGTATGAAATAAAGACAGACTGACAACAGTTTTGCAATAAGCCCTCGACTCTACTGTATTGTCTATCAAAGGGGCTCGTAAACTTTGGTAATTTGTTTATCAATGCAGCTGTATCTATGCCTAAGGAAACAGTGAAGCATTTATGAATATTTGAAGCCAATTGGGTCAAGGTAAAAGATCTTTGTTTGCCTTGATCATGCAATAAAATGTTATTTATTACAGTTAAGAGATGCCCTACATACTGTTAGATTTGACAACAATTTAAGGGCACTTATTATAAGAAGTTTGGTACCAGGAGCTTTCTGTGCAGGTAACCCTAGAGTTCTTTGATATAATTGTAATTCTTATAAAGTGGTCAATATTATTTATTTCATATTGGAATTAATTCCATAATTATGCTTTAACATAATAGACGAGGGGTGTCCCAGAATTACGTGGACTTTTGCTGTAACTCATGAACTACTGAAAATAAAAACAAACAAAATTAACATGAACAAAATGCAACTTTATTGCATTAGTACAAAAAATTTCAAAGTTGCTTGGCAACTGGATCATTGTCTGTGGGCAGAGTAATGAGACAAGGGGTAGCGGGTGCAGGGCAGTCCATTCCGACGTTACTACGTCATTCCGGTGGCGTCGCTAGTTGTTAATAAATGTGTGGCGTTGAATGTCAGTTTTTCTCAACATAGTCGCCGCCTAACTCAAAACACCTATGGTGTCGATATATCCACTGGTCGTACACCGCCCTGTATAATAATAATAAAGCATACTATTAACTTTTGTTACGATAATAATGTTAAAGACGACGGTGATAATGCTGACGCCGTATTATTATTATTATAATATTATTATTAATATTATTATTATGATTATTATTATTATTATTATTTGTCATTATTATTTCTATTATTATTATTATTATTATTCTTTTTATTATTATTATTATTATTATTATTGTGGAGTTTATTTTGTACGCAAAGACAATGTTCGTTAACAAGGGAAATAACCTATCATGCGCACTGCTTACTATAGCAGTTTGAGTTCACTTTCTTAAAAGCTGAAGCGGATAAATTGGGTTTAAAATAATTAACTGTGATAAGCTTAATTTTTGAAAATCATTTTTTTTTAAACACAAAATTATTGCCTACCCTCGAATAGTACTCAGCATTGACCTTGGTGTAACGCCTGTCCCGATCTATGACGTCCTTGACTTCCTCAATTGACGCCGTAGTCAACGTTGACTTTCTCCCAAGACCCTTGTCGTCTTCAATGTTCTCTCGGCCCTCACGAAAACGCTTATGCCACTTGATAACGAGTGATCGACAAACAGGAGGTCTCACTTTTGCAGTCTCCAACATTTCCTGCGTCTGTGTTGGCGTCTTCCCAAGATTAACACAAAACTTGATGAAAGTCCGATGTTCTGCGTAATCCGTGGACGTCATTTTTTGTTAAATATCCAAGAGCAACGGTTGTCAGTTGTCCGCTGGTAAACAATAACGGAAACAGCTATGACGTCAAAATTTCAAACGAACGTTCATATGACGTCACTGCATATGCTGACAACGTCGCGCCATTTTTTACGTATAAATACGCAAGATATACGAAAGTAAAGACAATTTATTAATACAAAATATTGGACTGCCCCGCCCAGCGCATACTGCGTTACTATAGCGTCGTAAAATATAGAGAAGCAATGTTAGAAATTTAAAAATAATGGACATATTCATTGAGGATATGTTAAAGGTATTGTGTACAAATTTGCTAAAAAATGCATTAAAAAATAAAAACGTTATAGCAAAAGTCCACATAATTCTGGGACACCCCTCATATAAAGTGAAATGGCTAAATTTTAAGCTTTAAGTTTGAACTCTGACAGGTCAGCAGGAAGTGCTTAAAGTTAGTTTTTTGATTGCCAAATGTCTATTGCTGAATAAAAAATGTCATTTAACCTTCTGGTTAGATTGATACTTGCTATAGGACTATTTTCCATGTATTGAATTCTTTTACGGTTGTTTTTTTTAAAGAATTTATGTATTGCATTATTTTGGTTGAAATGATATTCATTAGCAGAATCAATGAAATAAATAACTTTATCATAAACAAATTCTTGTCTAAAATTGAGAGGACTAATCTACTTCAAGTTTTGGAATATGATATAACTTCTTCGAAGACTGTTAAAAATGTTGCAATAGACAACGTTTGAATTTTGTGCCTTCAAATCTCTTGTGCATAGTATGTATTATGACAAAGTTATTATATGTGTCATTTTTCATATAAATTTAAATTCATTTCATTTTTATTTATTCTATATAAAACTGTAGAATGTATTTTATGCTATCTATTACACTCCTGTGCATCGGTCAAATGCTCCACTACCATTCACTTTCTTTACTTTGAAGCACTGCTATCATAATATGCATTTAAATGTTCAATTTTTCAGAAAGATATTTCATTGACTTTAGACACTATTTTATGCTATCTATTATACTATATACATTTTAATGGTCAGTTCTCCAGAAAGATATTAAATTGACATTTAAGGCACTATTTTAAGCTATATATATGCATTTTAATGATCAGTTCTTAAGAAAGAGATTATTCTGACTTTAGGCGCAGATTTAAAAGAAAGAGCAACCATGAAACCACAAGAAGTTGGACCCTTTGTTGCAAGTTTACGAGGCTCACTCTCTGATATAGCAAATCTTCCTATTCCTACAATTGTTGCTCTAGATGGTACAGCAGTTGGTGGAGGATTAGAGATGGCCCTTGCTTGTGATATAAGGATTGCAGGTAATTTGTGTGATTATGGTCCAGTATTGCTTTAAGTGAAATATTGTACTTCATGGAAATTTAATTACTTACATATTTGTCGAAATGGTTATTTACATGTATGTCATTGGTGATAATGGCATGATGATGATGATGATGATGATGATGGTGGTGGTGGTGGTGGTGGTGGTGGTGATGATGTTGATGATAGTGGTGATAATCATCATGATGGTTGTGATGATGATGACAACAATGTTGTTAATATGTAAATGAATGATGGTGATGATGAGGATGATGATGAAGTGCTTGCCTATTAGATTTGAAATTTTCTTGTGGTAAGTCTTATGTCATTTAATTTGTTTTTAAAGTCATTATATTCTTATGTGTTGCCTTTACTAAATTACAGGAAACATGGAAACACAGGGTGAATGACCCTAATTATCAAATTAATAGTTGAATTGAATTGCAATGCAAATTTAGTATTTGATATTATATGCTTAATATGCATGGAACAAGTACCCATTTTATGTAATAGAGTTCTGATCTTTCTCTTTTGACTAGCTGAAACAACTAAGATGGGACTTGTAGAAACAAAGTTAGCAATTATTCCTGGAGGCGGTAAGTTTTCTTATTTAGCATTTTCAGTAATAAGTAAAATTACAGTATTTAAGCCTTGAAATCTACTTTGAACAATGGAATGGCTTGAATTCAATGCAGGGCAAGTCCATTAAGCAAATTTAGGAGGATATGGTGTTAGAATAAACATTGATCATTGGTCATCCCTGTGTCATTACAATGTTCTAACTGCAAACTTTTGTTGTATTCTTCATGGCTGAATGGTCATGGTCACTGATTTTTAAGGTCTTCCGCCACCAATAAAGCTAGACAGTCAGTCGCATTGACTTATAAACCAACGAAAAATAAAACAAAAACTTGTTACTTTATTTGTTGGACCTATGTTAATCCAAAACGCGCTGAAGTTCTTAAATGGACTTTTGGAAAAGGTTGTTATCAATTTTTTGGATATTAAGATGAAAATTTGAAGTTGGTTAGCCAACAGTATAGAGCCTTGTCAGACTACACAGATGTGCAGACTGGCCTTTCTATATACAGGGGGCATAGGTTACTCACTTTTGTTTTACAGCAGGGATTGGATATAAAAACGTTTTTGAATGATAACATACATATAGGAAAACTGGTGTTCTTTTTGGATAGATAATAATGCCATTTCAATGGTCTTTGGCCGCTGATTTATGGGGGGGGGAAAGGTCAGTTGACTTCAAGTAGAAGTATGATCTGGTAACCTATAGTCACTCCATATATTCATGTTACACTTATTAAGAAAACATAACTGGATACTTGATACAGGGTACTTAAGATAATGTTTTTCCAAAATTTAAGTATAATGTGCCTTTCAATGCAGGTGGCACACAGAGACTAACAAGAGTTGTTGGCCCTTCTCTTGCAAAGGAACTTATATTTACTGGTCGTATAATAGATGGTATACAAGCCAAGGAGATAGGTCTAGTCAACCATGCAGTGCCGCAGAATGACAGCAACGATGCTGCGTTCCAACGATCAGTTGAACTTGCGAAGGAAATTGCTCCTCAGGTATGATTTGTAAATTTTGTAAAGGAATTTTATTGTGTTAGAAAGATTTTCAGACAGATTATATGTTTATGTATACAATGTGTTGCTTTCTCTTTAATCCTTGTCATAGACCATGCTATTTAATGGAAGGTCAGTAGTTCTACTCAGGTGCTAACTTGTGCCTGAAATAATGCATGAAGGGGTACCTGAGGTCTTCTACCATCAGTACAGCTGTAATGGCGTCATCTGATCATAACAGCATTATTGTGACGATTTTCACTACCTATTTATTTTCATTTTAATTACAATTATATTTTTTTACCATCCATTGCAGATTTTTCAACTTTAAGTGATTCAATTGATCTATGAAACAATTTCAAAATTTATGGGTTTTTAGCTCACCTGTCACAAAGTGACAGGGTGAGCTTTTGTGATCGCTTTTCGTCCGGCGTCTGTCCGTCTGTCATCCGTCCGTAAACTTTTACTTTAAATGACATCTCCTCATAAACCACTAAGCCAATTTCATCCAAACTTCACAGGAATGTTCCTTTGGTGGTCACCTTTAAAAATTGTTCAAAGAATTTAATTCCATGCAAAACTCTGGTTGCCATGGCAACCGAAAGAAAAAACTTTAAATATCTTCTTTTAAAAAAACCATAAGAGCTAGAGCTTAGATATTTGGCATGAAACATCTTCTAGTGAGTGTCTACGAAGTTTGTTCAAATAAAAGCCCTGGGGTCAAAATTGGCCCCGCCCCGGGGGGTCATTGATTTTCCCTATATGCATATAGTAAAAACTTAAAAAATCTTCTTTTAAGAACCCAAAGAGCTAGAGCTAAGATATTTAGCATGAAACATGTTCTAATGGGTGTCTACCAAGTTTGTTCAAATAAAAGCCCTGGGGTAAAAATTGGCCCCGCACCGGGGGTCATTGATTTTCCCTATATGCATATAGTAAAAACTTAAAAAATCTTCTTTTAAAGAACTCAAAGAGCTAGAGCTTAGATATTTGGCATGAAACATCTTCTAGTGAGTGTCTACGAAGTTTGTTCAAATAAAAGCCCTGGGGTCAAAATTGGCCCCGCCCCGGGGGGTCATTGATTTTCCCTATATGCATATAGTAAAAACTTAAAAAATCTTCTTTTAAGAACCCAAAGAGCTAGAGCTAAGATATTTAGCATGAAACAGGTTCTAATGGGTGTCTACCAAGTTTGTTCAAATAAAAGCCCTGGGGTAAAAATTGGCCCCGCACCGGGGGTCATTGATTTTCCCTATATGCATATAGTAAAAACTTAAAAAATCTTCTTTTAAAGAACTCAAAGAGCTAGAGCTTAGATATTTGGCATGAAACATCTTCTAGTGAGTGTCTACGAAGTTTGTTCAAATAAAAGCCCTGGGGTCAAAATTGGCCCCGCCCCGGGGGGTCATTGATTTTCCCTATATGCATATAGTAAAAACTTAAAAAATCTTCTTTTAAGAACCCAAAGAGCTAGAGCTAAGATATTTAGCATGAAACATGTTCTAATGGGTGTCTACCAAGTTTGTGCAAATAAAAGCCCTGGGGTCAAAATTGGCCCCGCCCCGGGGGGTCATTGATTTTCCCTATATGCATATAGTAAAAACTTAAAAATCTTCTTTTAAAGAACTCAATAAGCTAGAGCTTAGATATTTGGCATGAAACATCTTCTAGTGTGTGTCTACCAAGTTTGTTCAAATAAAAGCCCTGGGGTCAAAATTGGCCCCGCCCCGGGGGGTCATTGATTTTCCCTATATGCATATAGTAAAAACTTAAAAAATCTTCTTTTAAAGAACCCAAAGAGCTAGAGCTAAGATATTTAGCATGAAACATGTTCTAATGGGTGTCTACCAAGTTTGTGCAAATAAAAGCCCTGGGGTGAAAATTGGCCCCGCCCCGGGGGGTCATTGATTTTCCCTATATGCATATAGTAAAAACTTAAAAAAATTTCTTTTAAAGAACTCAAAGAGCTATGGCTAAGATATTGAGTATCAAACATATTCTAATAGGTGTCTACCAAGTTTGTTCAAATACAAGCCCAGGGGTCAAAATTGGCCCCGCCCCGGGGGTCATTGATTTTCTTTATATGTGTTTAGCAAAAACTTTAAATCTTCTTTGAAAAAACCCAAATAGCTAGAGTTTAGATATTAACCTTTTCCCTTATATAAGCGTGTTTTGACGGCTTTTTGCCCCCCCCCCCCTTTTTTTGAGGCCTCAAACATTGAAAAAATGCCCTATTAGGCCCCAAACACTGTCTTTTGTTTGAGAAATGTTGTTAAAAAAAGTGACCATTTTTTCGGCGCCGTCCCCCATCCAAATATTACATCAGGGGGTTGCCAGAAGGGGGATGTGCCCCCTTTTGTTTGGGGGGGTTTGAAGGGGAGCGGAGTCCCCCTCATCGCCAAGAAAATTTTGGACTTGTGAGAGGCTTAAAATGACCCCAGGTCGATCATAAGGTAACGTGTAACCAACGCTGAAAAGCCTTTGACTCTATCTCAATCCCTTGAGGAGTTGCAGCACTATGAAATAAATTTTGATGGAAAAAATCGAGACAAAAAAGTGATTTTTGGCAATTTTTGAGATGTCCCCTCGTTGCCATGGTAACAGGAAATTTAAGACTGAGCATGTCGTTACAAAGGCAATGGTCCAGTCAACATTTGTGCCAAGTTTGATTAGTATTGAAGCATTTTTCATAGTTTCATAGCAGTTTGAACTTGTAACAGGAGGCTTTTCAGTGAAAATGGCCATTTTTCACAATATGCTCATGGGGGAAAGGGTTAAGCATGAAACATGTTCTAGTAAGTGTCTACAAAGTTTGTTCAAATAAAAGCCCTGGGGTTAAACTGGCCCCGCCCCAGGGGTGTCATTGTTTTTAACTATATGTGTATAGTAAAAACTTAAAAAAAATCTTCTTTTAAAAAGCCCAATGAGCTAGAGCTTAGATGTTTAGCATGAAACATCTTCTTATGGGTGTCTACCAAGTTTGTGCAAATAAAAGCCCTTGGGTTAGATTGGCTCTGCTACGTTGGGGGGGGGGGGGTTTGGGGTTGGGGGCCTATATACAGGTGAGCGACCTCAGGGCCATCATGGCCCTCTTGTTTTTACCTTAGAAGAGCTCCTTTAAAGTTGTTCAAAATTAACATTCTACAGTTTTGCTTTTGTTAGGGTCCAATTGCTCTAAAGATGGCAAAGTTAGCAATTAATCAGGGAAATGAAGTGGACTTGGAAAGTGCCCTCAAGTTTGAAGAAACATGCTATGCTCAGGTAACAAAATACGTTAGATTAAACATCATTTATTTTATCTGCTACAAGTTAAATGGCAAGTAAATATTAGTATAACAAAATGTGATTGGATCATTTCATTTCCTCTTCAGTTTAGACTTAGTACTTTGTAAATAAAACCATAGACCTTCCTTACAGCCTGCCGGCTTAACTTGACAGAGAGAGGTGTTTGTAAGACAGTGTATTTACTGTAACTCTGTCCAAAGTCAATAAATCCAACTGTTACTTAGCTGGATTGGTATAATGGATTTGCCCTACTTTGAAATCAGAACTGTTCATGTACAGCTTTTTAACATTGAAACCCCTTTGCATTAATAATGGACCATTCTAATTTCAGACAGGTTAAGTCCATTAAGTATAGTACATGTATATTGTGCCCAATTAAAAGAGGTGATAACTAAGTCAAGTTTGGCTGGATTTTGACTTAATTTAAGGAGAAGAATTTCACTTTGTCTTTCATTCTAATCCGGTTTTTTAAGAATATTTGAAATGCTTTGTGTATAGTGAAAATTGTAACATGTATATATATTCTGAGAAATAAAATCTGTTTAAACTAATTTAAGTGATGTCTTAAATAACGACACTGATGTTTTAAGTTACTAAATATGTATGTTTTATACTTCTTTTTTTTCAGACCATTCCTACCAAAGATAGAATGGAAGGGTTAATGGCATTCAAAGAGAAAAGACCACCTGTATACAAAGGGCACTAATAATCTAATTATAGTATTAGTAAATAAATCTATGAAAAATTTCAGAACAAATAATTTTGTATTGTAGAATGATAGTTTAAAGTGACATGCCGCCGGACATGGGTAAGAGTAAAACTTTGGAAAATGGCAAAATGCAACAGTTTATAAAATGTTTCACAACGCAATATCTTAAATGTGGACTTGTTAATTTTACATTCAGAACAGAACCATTGACATGTTCTGTACTTACTGAAAAGTGAACAGTGCACAGATGTGCTGGTAGACCTTGGTCTGCACCGTTTGCATGGGTAGTTTGGGTAGCTATCAGCAGTCAATGGGTTAAAAATTTTAACCCATTGACTGCTGATAGCTACCCAAACTACCTTAAAATATTTCCAATCTGTACAATAAATAACATGATACATGTATATTTATACATGTAATGCAGCTTTTTTTCTTCAATTTTTTATCAGTAGATTTTTACATTGTGAGATATATTTTTTGCATATTTAAACACATTTTAGGTAATTTATGTGGATCTTACATGCTTAATGTGAGTTTAAATAACTATTTTTGTTAATTTTATAACATTTTTTTTCTGTTTAAAACACTTTAAAGATTTTCAAGAAAATAAGCAAAAATCTGTAGGCAAGCTACCTAAATTGATAGTCATAGTTAAGTAATTAATTTTAATAAGATTAATTCAAAGTTATATTTAGTATTATTTGTTATTCAACATTTTACGAGTTTATTTATTTTGCCCTCTTCAGCAACTTAATTAATTACAGGTATTTGATAAAATTTTAAATGTTTGTTTGACACAAGTTATTTGAGCCACATCACGACAAAACCAACATAATGGGTTTGCGACCAGCTTAAAAACTCTATAATAAGTAGAGAAACTGATAGCGAACAGCATGGATCCTGATCAGACTGCGCGGATGCGCCGGCTGGTCTGGATCCATGCTGGTCGCAAACCCATTATGTTATTTTTTTTGTCGTGACGGGGCTCATTTATAGAATGCATTATATTGTAATAAGCAATTGTGAATTATCAAAATAATAAAAGAATATATACCAAGTAAAATGCTATTATTCATCCATTACTATTATGAGTCAACAATTTAAAATACAACTAGGGCAGGTGTGTGATGTGGAAGAGAAGATTTTATTAGTGTGTTGTCCCAGTTGATCATGATAAAGGTAAACAAGAGCACTGCATGCAGTGTCAATGCTTGTTTATTAAAGGCAACAACTATCAATAACCAAATTTGACAAAAAAATCTTAGAAGGGGCATAACTCAAAAAAATAAAGCTAGCTTTCAGAATAATGGCCCTAAAGTTGTCTTTCAGCCGTGCTCTGTCATGATAAAACATGGGTAAGAGTAAAACTTTGGAAAATGGCAAAATGCAACAGTTTATAAAATGTTTCACAACGCAATATCTTAAATGTGGACTTGTTAATTTTACATTCAGAACAGAACCATTGACATGTTCTGTACTTACTGAAAAGTGAACAGTGCACAGATGTGCTGGTAGACCTTGGTCTGCACCGTTTGCATGGGTAGTTTGGGTAGCTATCAGCAGTCAATGGGTTAAAAATTTTAACCCATTGACTGCTGATAGCTACCCAAACTACCTTAAAATATTTCCAATCTGTACAATAAATAACATGATACATGTATATTTATACATGTAATGCAGCTTTTTTTCTTCAATTTTTTATCAGTAGATTTTTACATTGTGAGATATATTTTTTGCATATTTAAACACATTTTAGGTAATTTATGTGGATCTTACATGCTTAATGTGAGTTTAAATAACTATTTTTGTTAATTTTATAACATTTTAAAAACTTAAAAAATCTTCTTTTAAAGAACCAAAAAAGTTAGAGCTAAGATATTTAGCATGAAACATCTTCTAGTGAATGTCTAATATAAATATCTAAGCTCTAGCTCTTACGGTTCTTTAAAAGAAGATTTTTTAAAGTTTTTACTATATGCATATAGGGAAAATCAATGACCCACTGGGGCGGGGCCAATTTTGACCCCAGGGCTTTTATTTGAACAAACTTGGTAGACACTCACTAGAAGATGTTTCATGCCAAATATCTTAGCTCTAGCTCTTTGGGTTCTTTAAAAGAAGATTTTTTAAGTTTTTACTATATGCATATAGGGAAAATCAATGACCCCCTGGGGCGGGGCCAATTTTGACCCCAGGGCTTTTATTTGAACAAACTTGGTAGACACTCATTAGTGAATGTTTCATGCCAAATATCTAAGCTCTAGCTCTTAGGGTTGTTTAAAAGAAGATATTTAAAGATTTTTCTTTCGGTTGCCATGGCAACCAGAGTTCTGCATGGAATTAAATTCTTTGAACAATTTTTAAAGGTGACCACCAAAGGAACATTCCTGTGAAGTTTGGATGAAATTGGCTCAGTGGTTTATGAGGAGATGTCATTTAAAGCAAAAGTTTACGGACGGACGCCGGACGGACGCCGGACGAAAAGCGATCACAAAAGCTCACCCTGTCACTTTGTGACAGGTGAGCTAAAAATAAGTTAAAGAGGAGTATAACTTAAAAATATTGCTTTTAGTTTCATGTTGATACCCTTTGAAATATTTAAATTTTGCACACACAATGAATGACAATGCAGCAATCACAATAGCTCACCCTTTTCTTCTAAACAGAGAAGTTATTAACGGCATATGAAAAATAATTGTGCAAAATTGTCGTAACATTAATTTTTAAGTTTACTTTACATACTGGTATCATAATAACTGTCATTTTCTTACTGCTACTTCCATGCCGTCCAACCAGAATTTGGATGGGAGCCTCAATTTGGATACTAAAGAAAATAAACCTTAAGAATTAATAAAAAGACAAACACAGGCTACTTCTTTTCAATTTTTTTTTATTATATTTGTTCATCTAAACATTGATTGGCTATAATTATTGTGTCAACATGAAACTGTAAAAAGATACCATCACTTAACTGTAAATAAAATTTCATAAGTACACGTAAAACAGAAAATAAACAAGAAACAATATCACTTCTCGCTGACTAATTACACGCGAGAAATCTAAAAACCATCCGTTTATAACATCAAATACATATATACAAATAGATAGAGATTCGAAAAGGTAAACAGATAAACAGGGAGGAGTATACTGTGTCAAACAGTAGAATATATAGATAAATATATATGTATAAATAAACACTTCTGTAAAAATTAAACATTTTTTATTATATCATGAGAAAGTGCCACACCTTTGGCTTCGAGAATGTGTAAAATTTAATGTTTAGAGATTATATTTAATGACATATAGCTGTGTAAACACAACATTTTTACTGTAAACGTACATATATTATAAATAACTCCTGGATTCAGTCAGAGATTTTAAACTTTTTTTTCAGAATGCAAATTTGTCTCATTAATATTTCATACAGTATAAATATTAGTAGCGCTTAAGTTTCTAATATGTTCACTACCTTATTTAAACAGAGAACATAGAAAAACAGTGAAAAAGACCAGATTGTAGACTTGAAATGACAGAACATGGAACATTTGTTACACATAAAAAATATGTAGACTAAGTGTGTAAACACATTCCCATTTGCATAATTTCCAACGATTAAATATTTTCAGATGATTTGATAAAATTTGGTAAAGAAACAACATGAAAGCTCATAATTATATAAAAGCCTAAAAAGCATTAAAATATTGCAAATTTTTCTACCAGGTCTTTGAAGTTCAACTACAAGCAGTTTTGGTTATAATGTACATGTACATGTTTTACCTATGACATCAGGATAGAACCAGGTCGGTCTGTACATTCACACAATTTTACCAGATTCTACACGGCTGGCTAATCATTTCATATAAATTTTGAGAGCTGAAAACCCTTCAAATCTTCTGATGAAAATAAATCTTAATTTAAAGTAGGTAAACTCTGAATATACAAATTCAGCTTGGGTTACAAAGTTCTTGACCAGTGGCAATATTAATATACATAACCAACCTGAACTATGACCAGACTGTATACATGTAGGCCTACTGCTGGACACTCAATATTAATATTTTGACAATGGACTTACTTATACTACTATCAAACTGATAAGAACTCATAGTAAGAATAGTCTGCATGTAATTAGAAATAGGTACATAAAACTGCAAAAACAAAATTTTCAAAATTTCTATGGGTACCAGTAAACATTGCACATTGTGTGAAGATAAATAATTATAAAACAATATAAAAATTATGAACATAAATTTGTAGGGAATATAGCCCACCAGTGTACTATTCTGGTCCATTGTATCACTCCAGTTTACACGATTAAGACAACTTATAAAATTCACCAGAAAAGCACACTTGTGTAATTTTCCTTGTGCCATATACCTATTGTTAACAGGAGGAATTCTTTTTCCATGTAAAACTTGAACCTGGCCTATTATTAATCGAGACAAAACATTCGTTCTGGCTCAGTTTCAAGATAATTGGAGGGAAAACTGGATCTCAGACTCGGGGTATGAAGGAGTTAAAAACTTAATGTGAACTGAAATGGACATGTAACACCCATAAGTGATCATAATACCTCAACTTTGAGCTAGGTTTTAATGCCATAACAAAAGTAATATAAATGCAAAAAGTTATATAAATGCATAAATGGATTTCAAATTTGATGAGTTAACACTATTGCTGGAGAAATATATGGATTTCCATTCACTTAAATTGCACATTTAATATAAATGTTAAATCTTTGAATAAACATATATTCAAACACATGTAAAATAAAAGTAAACTTAACAGAAAAGAAATATTTTATGTTAATACATTATATATATATATTTATGTATAAAGAATTTGTTACAAATAAAATAACAACCTTTTAATATTCAATGATTTATAACTTGTTGTAAATGCATTTTAAATATCAATTATGTATACTAATACTGAAAGAGATATTGGAAATGACTTGATTTAAAAAACATGACAGTAAAGTTTTCATCAAATATCCCATCCCAACACTCTTTATGTTGCCTACCCCACCCATTTTTGAACTTTTATCTTATCATTCATCCACTTCTAAAATTATCACAAAACATTCTAATATGTAGTCACAACAAAACCAACATAATGGGTTTGCGACCAGCATGGATCCAGACCAGCCTGCGCATCCGCGCAGTCTGATCAGGATCCATGCTGTTCGCTTACAGACCCTCTAACAAGTAAAGAAACTGATAGCGAACAGCATGGATCCTGATCAGACTGCGCGGATGCTGGTCGCAAGCCCATTATGTTGGTTTTGTTATGATGCGGCTCATATGTAGTCACAACCATTGTTTTTAACTAGTAATTTTAACTATCTATACTATTACAGAATAGTTTTTGTAGTTGTTTTATTTTTCATATGTAAGGAATTCCTTTTTATATGCTTGGAAAAATTCACCTATATGATCTACATACAGATTATGATGTCTTAAAATTACTTAGCTTATAATAGAATTATTATTTATCATATATTTAAACCCATAAAAGAATAGAAAATTGATTATCATTACAGAAAAAAAAACAAAAAAAACATAATTAACTAAAAATAAAAACAGACATATTTAAATTCTAAACAAAATTCTGAACATTGATACAGTAAAATTTCCACAGACATTATGGTTTGTTAGTAATAAGTTCAGATATTGAAATATTACAAGTGCTAGGTTGACGGAAAACAGGGAAAAAAAACCAGAAATTAAGATATACTGGTAGACATTCACAGAGTAACATTTAACCCTTAACAAGCAAATTTTGTATAATGATTTCCCCAGCTTGAATTTCAAACAGTTCATTCAGTTCGAGGGATTTCAATAATAAAAAGAGCCATGTCACGACAAAACCAACATAGTGTGTTTGCGACCAGCATGGATCCAGACAAGCCTGTGCATCGCGCAGTCTGATCAGGATCCATGCTGTTGGCTATCAGTTTCTCTACTTGTAATAGTGTTTGTAAGCGAACAGCATGGATCCTGATCAGACTGTGCGGATGCGCAGGCTGGTCTGGATCCATGCTGGTCGCAAACCCATTATGTTGGTTTTGTCATGGCACGGCTCAAATATAGAAACTGAACTCACTACCAACAGTATAGAGTTTGAGTTCAGACTGCATGGATGTGCAGGCTGGCCCAACTTTACGCTGGTGACAAAGACTAACCAATTTTCCGTTCCAGCAGGTGAAAGGTTAAATTTTAACTTAAAATAATGTGTAAACAACATACATTTTAGTTTCTATGCTAACACATGTATTCTATACTACTGGTATTTCAAAAGCATAATTATTGTCATCTTAGTGCAGTCCACAGGTTAACTCCTATTGAATTTTATAAGGAGTTAACCCGTTACTGCACTAAAGAGACCATACGTGTATTCTATTACGTTAAAAACAAAATGTGTACTCTGCTTTCTTAAATTTGAAGAAAAAAAAAAATCAATAATCCAGCATGTCACATGGTGAATTTTTCTACTTCACAAACATAACTTTCATGTGTAATCTACAGAATAGATTTTTTTTTGTGTGTGTATTTCATTCTTCTACGTTTTCTACTGTGTTAACTCATATGTGCATTTCTCCTCTTTTGAATAATATGTTTTCTACTCTCCTGCCTGTGCCCCAATTCTTGAAGAAACACACATATATTTCTACACACTATAGCCTTATACACTATTCTGAAAAAATTATAAATAATGAACAATAAACCACTAGATGTATAAATCATTCCTAGACAAAACATATCCTATTTTTCTAATAAAAATAATGTGGTCATGTATTCAAAAGCTCTCATGGATTTTACAAGAACAGATCACACTTGTTGTTTCCGAGCCTTGTAAGATCCTATCCTATTTAATCTAGCCAAGTTAAATATAAATATTCCAGGAAGATCATTTAATCCTATAATACCATTATTATAATATTATATGAACATATTGCCACTTTGTACTTGCAAATGATGCTGCAGATACTGGGAGAGAAGTTTTAAAAAAAAAAGCTGGATTCTACAAAAAGTATGAAGAAAAAAAAGAAAAAAAGGAAGAAAAAAAACCAAAAACAAAAAAAAACAAAAACAAAAAAAACATTCAGCATGCAACAGAAAGTTTTTTAAACTGTGTTGACTGCAGTATATATATATATATATTTGTATTGTTATACATATTACAAAAAAGTGAATAAAATACTGTGTAAACATTTAAAAGTCAAAGAGATGAATAATATACATATTGTATGAATTTACAAGATGGTGAATATATAATTCAAATATACTACACACAGTGAAGTGTATAAATATCCATATTGAACAACATGCAGCTAAAAACAATGCAATAAATGTGTTATTGTATGACAGGTATTTACAAAATGAGATGATTTACACTCTGGTTTAAATCTGGTTTTGTTATTATCACCGAAATTTTTTGTCTGAAAGTGTACAGCTATGTTCTAAACACTACTCAAATATCATATACAATTTGCATACACCTATTCCTCCCACACATGTTCAATATCTCAAAACATTTCGAGATTCATCATTTATTCAAAATACTAATTTGTTTTGTTTTTTTCCTAAGCAAGTATTGTATTGTTTCTAATCACTACCACTCCCTCCCCTGCGGTATTTCAAACAAAGGGAAAGAGAGCTTATGAAATTGAATGTTATATCCTATGAAATTAAACTTTTAAACTGCTTAAAGGTTCCGGTCCATCTTTAAAGAAAAAAAACATGTCTGTAGTCATATGATGTTTTCAATATTGCTTCACAATTATCAGACAATCTATAAGCCTGTGTTCACCTTAATTAATTAAAAAATTCTAAACAGGCTGCTTATTATAATCAGTATGGTATGCATATATTCGATAACGATAAATGTCATTCAATAAATAAGATTCCCATGCAATGAGAAAGTGTTCTTTATTCAGTCTGAATCGTCGCCACTTGCACTTGCGTTACTACCAACGCCTGGAAGGAAACGTGTTCGGCTACTATTCTCGGATTGTGTCACTGATTGCGTAGCTTCTTCGACCTAGTAAGATTAGATTATATAGAGAAAATGGAGTAAGGAAAATTGAAAATATACGTGAAGCAAACGGATATTATGTGCTCGGTGACCCGTTACCACCATCGTTGCCAAGCTCCTCCATTCCCGGGAACAAGTCGGAAATATTGCTCTCCGGATGCTTTAATGAATGTTTTGTCACTTCGACCTGACAATGAAGTTTGAAGAATATATATGGTTTGAAAATTATAATAATAATGGACAACAATTATTGCTATGAACATAATTTTGAAAGTCTGAACCAGTTTTAGTACACACACTTACTGAGCAAAACGCTAAATTTATATTGTTCGTACATTTATTTATAACTCTTTCTAAAAACACTCTAATCTGACAATTTTATAATAACAAATTAGTATTCACAATCATATTCTTCTTATTTCAACAATTTTATATACATCCAATGTAATTTTTACAAAAAGCTACTTTTTGTCTAAATCGATTTTTTTTTATATTTTTAACCTAAAAAATTTCTCTGGACCTAGTAAATGATATAAATAGATATACAAGCACATTATATAAATTAAGAAATTCACTAGTTGTAAAAATATTTTAAGCTTTTACTTAAGGATTACAGACTTTAAAACCACTTGCCCCTCACCGCTGTGGGTTCGAATCCAAACAGGGACTTTGGAATCTTTCATGTGAGGAAGATATACAGCTAGTTTACGGAACGTCGGTGGTTCTACTCAGGTGCTCGTTTGTGCCTGAAATAATGCACGGAGGGGCACCTGAGGTCTTCCTCCACCAGTAAAGCTGGAACGTCACGATATGACCTATCCTGTGTCGATGTGACGTAAAACCCAAAACAAACAAAAACAGACTTTAAATGAGCATTGATATGGGCTGCCATGTAGGTATTTTCTCAAATATTGATGTTTAATGATTCATTAGGATTTATAGTCCTTAATAAAGGCACTTATTATAAGTCTTTTAAATAAAAATTACCTAGCCACGGGCTCAATACCTAGAATATTAAAATAATATAACGAAAAATGTGTCCACAGGACACCTTTGTCCCTGCTTTCTTTTGTTGTCACAGTGGCAAAAGTTACAACTACAAAAATGTAATAAGTTTCATTTAAACCTTTAATTGATAAAACACTTGTTCTTGATTCGACAAGTATTTTATGTGTCACTATGACATTGACCTTATGACACAAAATCATAATTGGTATATTTTAGTCATGACCTGTCTCAACACCAAATCTTAAGACTGTACCCTAAAGCATTCCCTAGTTTTGGGTAGTACAATACCACAGTGACCTTGAACTTTGACCTCAAAATCAACAAGGGTCATCTACTAGTTATGATGAACCTCCATACAAAATCTTAGGCCAAAGTTATACCTAGTTATTTGTCGAACAAAGTTTAAGTGGTAAAATGCAATGTCATTGACTTTGACCTTCTGACCTCAAAATCCCTAGAGGTCATCTACTAGCTCTTTGTCCTAGGTAGCATAAATCCTAGCTTATTCCCTTTCAAGTAACTGCCCTTTCAAGTAACTGATTGGACAAGGAAGAGGTGGTGTTCAAACAGACATACTGACCTGACCCATCATGTTATGTTCCCACTTTTTAAAAGGGGGTGGGGGGTATAATCATATTTACCTGTAATCTACTACAGATCGTCTGGTAGGTTTTGCTATTTAATGTGTTTTCTAGAACACCTTGCAGCTCAAAATCTGAGTAACATTTCTGAAAAAAAAAAAAAAAAATTCAATTCAACCCCAACCAACATTACCATATTTGTCTTAGTGCCCCTGCCCTATAACCATCTATGTTTATTTTTTATATGCAAATATTTTATGGATTAATACATTTTTTTCGCTAGATGGTTTGTTGTCTGTTTTGTTACAGCATATAGAGATTTTACTACCATCAGACTAGATTAATTTTTTTTGTTTTAAATTATTGAGGTTTTTTCATTTTTTTTTTCTTCCTGATAAAGTCTGTTGGTTTTAGTTTAAAGTTTCCTTTTTTCCCCAAATTATTTCAGCCCTCTGGACACTGGCTGGGGCATTTATGACATTTCATAACAATGGTTTTCATAAATTAATAAAAATACTTTTGTGCCTGTCTTTGTAATTTGACGCTAATATGTCCTTGACCTAGAGGCCAAGGCCATGTTGCACAACAAATTGACCTTATTCAACACTTTTGGAAAAAACTTGAATAACTGATGGTCAAAATTTGACAGATTGATTGACTTAAACCCTGTCTGTGCATGGATTGACACTCACTTGGGACAAGTGATATAACATTGTTGTCTTAGATTTTTTAATTTTTTTTTTTTTACTTTAATGCTAAAAACTGAAAATATTTCCCCTTCATATTCATAAAAATATAATAACAACTGAACAAAATTCCTAACAAGTAATAATACAAGTAGCTTATTTTACCATAATAAAAGTAAGGCAAGATTTAACATTACTGCAGTAAAGCCAAACTGAGAAACTTCTTATGTGTTGTATTTTTAGACTGAATTTCTTTATTTGTTTATACTTCTACAAGTAAAATATACAGTGCGATGTCTTATGAACAATCCAAATTTAACAGCAATGTCTAAGCTTTAATAACTAGAAATGTGTCCATAGGACACGAATGCCCCCACACGCCACTGTTCTGTTAATCTTATGACTCTAGGTCAAATATTTTTTGGACTACATGTGCCACAAGTTGAAAACTAAAAATCAACAAAGGGCCATAATTCTGTTAAATTTGGCCGCAGCAAAAATTCCTTCCTTTACTACCATCGACACATTAAGGTTGTTAATCCCTGGAAGTTTAAGCAAAATCTGCCATCTGGTTTAAGAGAAGTTGCGTTCACAAAATTTCTACATAGTATATAATGAAAAAATCAACAAAGGGCCATAATTCTGTTAAATTTGGTTGCAGCAAAAATTCCTTCCTTTACTGCCATCTACACATTAAGGTTGTTCATCCCTGGAAGTTAAAGCAAAATCTGCCATCCGGTTTAAGAGAATTTGCATTCACAAAATTTCTACATAGTATATAGTGAAAATATCAACAAAGGGCCATAATTCTGTAAAATTTGGTCGCAGCAAAAATTCCTTCCTTTACTACCATCTACACCTTAACGTTGTTCATCCCTGTAAGTTTAAGCAAAATCTGCCATCCGGTTTAAGAGGAGTTGCGTCCACAAAATTTCTATATAGTATATAGTGAAAAAATCAACAAAGGGCCATAATTCTAATAAATTTGGTCACAGCAAAAATTCCTTCCTTTACTACCATCTACACATTAAGGTTGTTCATCTCTGTAAGTTTAAGCAAAATCTGCCATCCGGTTTAAGAGGAGTTGCGTTCACAAGATTTCGGGACGGACGGACTGACTGACGGATTGACGGACAAGTGCAACGCTATATGCTCCCACATTGTGGGGGCATAAAAATGTTTTCAACAACTGATATGGTACATTCCATTTCATGTAACTTTGTGACACCAGTGTAATGCATACATACACAAACAATAAACAGTCCCAAATTGAAAAGCAGCGCAAAGTCCATTCAACAATTTTAACATGATACAATGTAATAAAGAGTTAGGATACTTACTCTAGTAATAGCCATGATACAGGTGAGCTGGTAAGGGTGAAGGGAAAGGTCAAGTCTATCTGTCAGCCAATCACAGATCATCTTCATCTCATCATGGTACCATTGCTACAATTGGCCAATAATCAATCAATCACTGTTTTCAAGACACATAAGAGAACAGAAATAATAGCAGAAAGATTTGCTGTTTATCAATGTACCAAGAGTCACTTAAGTATCTATAAGTAAGTGTGACCAATACTAATTATACAATTTTTAAAAACGAACACACATGTTAATATCTTTTGACAAATCTTTTTGGTTTGTAAATACATTGTACTAAACCTGCTGTAACAATAAAGTGATTAATCTTTGCCATCAGTATCAAGGTAGATCAACCTGCATATCCATGCAGTCTGATCCTATTCTGTTAGTAGCTTTGTCACTTGTACTGTTTGTACTTCAATCTTTGTTGTTGATATTGAAATATTAGCATGTGTTATGATACATATATTGCATATTTTATTAGCATTTTTTCCTACCTACGTACCTACCCACTTCTTCAGAAAGGGAAAAGATTTTTTTGAAGGGGGCCTAAATAAAATCATACTGAAAGGAATGTTTGTAATTCAAGGCTTGGCAAATGCATTACAGTCATTTAAAAGGTTACAGGTTAATTTTCATCTAAAGTTCAATTATCTAATGCTTGATGATACAAAGCTTACCTCAAATATGGACAGAACAAATAATTCATCAATGATTTTTTGTCGTAAAATGTCTAGATTTCCACGCATAAAATCTACATAAGATTTGCCTAATTCATTAACTGGTTTCTGAAAATAAAACAGACAAAAAATACAATGATGAAATGTGAAATATTTAAACATTTCCTTTATGAAAGTAAATACATGTAGTTTGTTTATTAGCATAATCAAATACAAATAACAATCACATACATGTATAATATACAAAATAAGTACCGACTGAATAGCAAACATAATGCCCACTACGATCAGATGGCAAAATCATGTGTCATATTTCAGTTTTTTCTTACGAAGGTAGACCCCATGTATCTCTTTCATATTTATTTTCAGGTACCTAAAACTCAAGTCAAATGCCTAGATGTTCAGTTCCTTAATTTGGCTACACGAAATTATAACTAAAAGGATAGCAGATAATTAACATATTTACCACAAAAGCCCTTCAGAAATGTTCATTCTGAGTTAAACATACTTTGGAAATGCAACATAGCATTTACTTGCTTTGTTGGGCAAGAACTCAAGACTTAGTGCTCTCCCTTGGAACAAAATGGCAGGATTAAATTGAACATATATGATAAAAACGTTGTAGGATTTGAAATCACTTGAGCAGGAGTACTATGACAGGATTTCTGTGCCCCTTGTCATGTACAGCAAGCTCTTTAGTAATATTCACATATCTGAGATAAAATAAATTAAACTACCTACATAAATTAAGAATTAACCTTAAGCCTGCTGTTAGCAATAGATTCTACATAATTATGCAACCAGTGCAGACCAAGATCATGGTCTTTTTTCGTTTTTCAATCAATACTTGTTTTGAAGTCAATTTTTAAGATATTTAGAGGGGTAAGGGCTAAATAATCAACATACTGGTACAGCGGCCTTCAGATTTTATTTTTTGTTTAGTTTCAAACTAAGTGTTTCAGTAATTTTATCTTGCAAAAATGCATTATATCACTGTAAGGCCTTTTTCAAAACGGCGTCCCGAGAGCTATTCATAGCACGTCAATGACTTTCGTTTCTTAAAATAGAAGATTGGAAAATGAATTGTCAACTTTACTTATTTACATATAGACAGCAGACCAGTAAAAGAGGAGTTTCCTTATTGTTTATGTATTTCATTGACTTCAAATTTCATTTTCCATCTTATTTCTTGGAATTTGACAATTATATGAAACGATTTATTTAAAAATACCATATTTAACCTTTAGAAAAGCTGAAGGTTGCTTTTACAAGAGAATGGATGTAAAGATCAATTTATAACAGAACTTACTGTTAATGAGAGTATTGAAGAGAAGAAGGTTCCTTCGTCGTATCTTGACAGCTTACTTAGAACGGACTCAAGAACGGACAGTAATTTTTCTATGATACATTTCACCATCTGAACCTGCACACGCTCCAGGAACTCATCTATCTGGGTATGGTACTGATGCTAAAACACAAAAAAAGATATTACTAAATAAATGAACATCCTTTTTAGGCCCTAGAGCTAATAATAAAGCAGCTATTACCACCAGTTTTAAGGCAAGTCAGTCTGCATTTCTTTAATGTCTGACTTGAATTAAAACCGCTGTCAGATTTTTTTTTTAATATTTTGATAAATAAGTCCCATTCACTAAACATATTACACCTGTCTCAAATTAAAATCAGGGCTACAAAACAAATTTAACATCTTTTTTGTTAGATAATCAATTTGTTTGCTGATTTAAAATGATGATGATACATTTATAATAGGTTATACATTGTATTTTCAAAAAGCCTAGTTAAATATTAATATTCTGAATGTAAAAACAATAAGGCCCCCTAAAAAAAAACTGCTCAACCAAAAACACCCAGTGGTTACAAAAATTTTATTGAGTTGTCACAAAAAAAAAAATATATATATTCTATAAATACATATCTGTAACTAGCTCAGTGATGTTTAAATGGAACAGTATTAACAGAGGAAATAGCAAATACAGCTTGTACAAAAGTTTACTGCGCAAAGGGAAAAAAAATTGTCACATGCATGTCATTATGTTAGCAGGGGAAGAAAAATGAATTAACCCACTTCTTCAGAAATGGAAAAAATTTTAAGGTGGCCTAAATAATACCATTTTTCAATTTTAAACAGAAATGTGTATTTTTCTATTGCTACTTTTTCATCTTTATTTGATTCAGATGGGGTGATGCTGATTTGTATATAGATGCTGGGCTTTGGAGTTAATAACCCTTAAGTTGCATTATGTCTGGTACACTTCATATTCAAAGCTGGACAAGTCCATTTATACAACTATAGCAAACAAATGTGAAAATATAAACAATGGCATTACTCAGAAGCAGAAATTTGTTAGCCTGATAAGAAACATAAAGTAACACCACTGATAAGCATCTTAGCCCTTAATCTGCTGGAACCAAAATTCATTAGCCTTTGCTTCCACCAACCATTCTTGTGCAATCTTACCAGGCTGTATACTGGTGCCAGCTCAATTTTTATATTTCAATTTCAAGGCAATTTTCAGTATTGAAATCCCATTAACATTATTAAATGGATTGTTCAAAAATTCAAAACTGGGCAAGGCAATTTTCAGTATTGAAATCCCATTAACATTATTAAATGGATTGTTCAAAAATTCAAAGCTGGGCAAGGCAATTTTCAGTATTGAAATCCTTTTAACATTAAATGGATTGCCCCAAATTCAAAGCTGGGCAAGGCAATTTTCAGTATTGAAATCCTTTTAACATTAAATGGATTGCCCCAAATTCAAAGCTGGGCAAGGCAATTTTCAGTATTGAAATCCTTTTAACATTAAAAAATTCAAAACTGGGCAAGGCAAATACACAAATTTAGCAAGTTAAGGGTCAACTTTAAAACCAACAAATTTATCATAAACAGACCAGGTATATAGCATGTATATACATGTACCAGTAGAATTTTCACTCATATAATATTTCAGATCAATGTGCCAGGTATAATGGTTAACAAACAAGAAATGATAAACAATGCAACTTTTGAAAGAAGATTTCAGTTCCACACAGATCAATGACAAATGCTGTATGTAAATTACAAATGCCAACATATTAAGGCTGGTTGGTGGGCAAATACAACGTATTACCTTAAGTCATATGCAAATTTATTGCCCCATGACTCAAATCTGTTTAATTAGTTTATACAAATTTATTTAAGTTTGATAGTGTTAGAAGCTTAAGCTTATTGAAACACACTCGATATCAGTTCCTGAAACCAACCAGTACTAAGCAATTAATGTAAAGTTTCTTGCCCAAGGAAATAACGCCTAGCCTCTGACAGGGTTTGAACCTACATGGTCAGGAATCCTTGGATTGTTAACCACTCTGTCACGCTGCCACTCGCTAAATCTATGTTCAATGACAGTTTGTTACAGGTAAATGGTGAACTGACAGGAAGCATGGCCAAAAAATAGCAAGGTTTCAAATTTATCACTCAAACAAAGAGATCCAGACCATATTCCCAGAACAATTTAAGTCATCCATATACCATAACTTCTTTTCAGTGAATAAATATCAAATGGTAGGTAAAAATATCAAAATTGATATGTTCATAACATACATTTTAAAGAGCCTGTTTTACAAACAATACTTAAGCAAAAACTGTACTCATTGCTGAACATTGCACATAAAGCTAGAACAAATAGATACTACTAATACCTAATTAGAGTGATAAACCATTACATGATCATTAGAGTTACACCTGATTTTTAGTTATAAACTGTTCCTAATTAGTGATAGTTCCTATCCTTGTGCCAAATAAGAGTGATAAACTTGTTCCTAATTAGAGTGATAAACTGTTTTTTAACTTTAGTGATTGACAGGTTTTTTAATTAGAGTGATAAACTAATTTCTAACTTGAGTAATTAACTGGTTCCTTATTAGAGTGATAAACTTATTTTAAACTTGAGTGATTAACTGGTTCATAATTAGAGTGATAAACTTTTTTTAACTAAAGTGATTAACTGGTTCCTAATTTGAGTGTTAAAACTTTTTGATAATAACATTGATAAAGCGGTACAAATTGGAATGATATGTTGTTCCCCCTTAATTTAAAAATCTGATGCTAACTTAGAGAAATAAACAAAATCTTATTCTCTGGCATGCAGTGACTAATGAATTTGGTTTTCTTATATAAATTAATCAAACATTTCTGTCAATATTATCTCTATGAATTTCTAACAATAGCACTTTATCTATAAATTTAACAAAATATATAATTTATTCATAAACTTTTAATACATTTTTAAACAATTTTCATTTTCTATTATCTAATGCTACTCTAGCTACACCAGCAAACACAATAAGGCATAAGGACACTAAATCACAACAAAAATTAAAATTTAGGTACCATGGATCCTGGCACTGCTTTCAGGCCATTCTGCACTAAATGTTTCTGAAGAAAAAAAAAACACACAACACAATATTCATGCAGAGAAATAAAACAATAATTAATATTTCCTGTGACTATCTACAACTGAAAAAGTATAAATTGACAATTTGTAAAAATAAATAAGCCTGTCTACATGTAATGCAAAGTAAAATATTTAAACAAAAGGTTTTAAAATCTTATTTTAACATCTAAAATTGAAAAACTATATGCAAATGGGCCATATGTCAAGGACTTAATTGTGACATATGAGCTCTAAGCATGATTGTGACCTTGACATTAGCCCATTTTTTCTTAAATCGTACATTTATTTCAAGTTCAATATTATAAACTTACATGTACCATAGAAATAACTAGTAACCGTCTGAACTTGCATATTGGCATCATGCACAGATTGACAAATAAATTAAATATCTGACCTACTTTTGTGTCAACTTTGTCAATTGGGTCAAGGTCACATCAACAAGCTTAAACAAAATAAGCTTCTTGATGAATAAAATATCAATTAATATTCAAATATAGATAATTGTCCCACTAAAAATGCAAATACAATGATTTTTATAGTGAACTTTATTTGATTAACTTCTGAAAATACAAATATTAAGCAAATGTGTATAGAACATATCTAAATACATCACAAAAAATTTGTTGTGTACTTGTACATGTATTATCAAAATCCCTCTTCATATTTTATGCAAGGTAACCTAAGTTAGGTTCCATATTTGGTCATTTTTTCTATAAGATATTTTTCCCTTTAAACCAACCAGACCAATGTTGTTATAACAAACCTTTGTTAATAAACTTAAACATGAAACAAAAACAAAACTTAACTTTCATGCCAAAAAGTATGTGTAACAAAAATAAAAGAATAATAACTGTTTTTTACTTAAAAATATCCTCGATATTTGTCAACATAAGACAATTCTCTAAGAAATGGAAAGCAAATGTACATAAAAGGAAGAAAGGGCAATAAAATTGGGAGGAGTGGATGGGGTGGGGGATGCACGATCAAAGCCATTGTGTTTAAAAAAAAGAAAAGAAAAAAAAAAGAAGATAAATTTCCTTATAACTGTTAGGTATCTTTATCATGTAAGATAAATTATTTCTTTTAAAAAATTTCACCATTTAACCCATGAATTTGTTATAAAGATGGAAAGAGAGGGTGACAAATGCCTGCATTGGACTAAATTGTTGTTCCTAAACCACAAACAAGAGCTGTCAGTAGGACAGCAACGCTCGACTATTCTTAGTCCAGGATAGTAAAAAAGAATTGATAATGTAAAATTTACTAAGTTAAGAAAAGGGCAAATTTTTTTCTTTAAATCCATGTTACAGTTATAGCCCTTGAAGAGAGTCCTATTATGCTCTCAAAGAAGAGTATAAAATTATATCTTGCTTCAGAGCCATATTCCAATGGACTTTGAAAATATTTGAGGTATTACAAAAACTTTCACGAAAATTCTAAGTCGAAAAAGGGGCATAATTCTGTCAAAATGCATGATAGAGTTACCTCCTCCTGTCTACAGGTTGGGGTTATGATGGCAAACAAGTGTGCAAAGTTTCAAAGCCATATGTCAATGGACTTTGAAAATATTTAAGGTATTACAAAAACTTTAACATAAGTGGTTACGCCGACGCAGACGCTGATGCTCGGGTGATTACAATAGCTTTACTTATTCTTATCCAATAGTCGAGCTAAAAAATATTCCATTATTTAAAAATTCCTAAATGTGACCCTCTCAAATAAGGTTGACTTTTCCTTGTAAAATGATAAACAAGCATTCACAGAATGACAACAATAACAATACAAAACAACAATAAAACCATGCCCTTGATAAAGTAATATAAATACCATATCCCCACTATCCAATGCACACAGATGTAATGCCTGTAAAACAAACAGTGTACCAAGTTTCAGCAGGATATGGATAAAACTCGGTTACTTTGGAAATTCATAAACAGAATAACAGAGTAACAATGTATGGTAAACTTCATTTTTACACTAACAATTTATTTGGTGTATTATAATGCTGTACATTTGTAACATCACTTTTCAATGGATAATTGTGACGTTTATACAAGAGTTAGTAGGACAGCATCGTTGGAATTTTCTAAGTGCTTGACAGTAAAACAAGAGCCTGGATAATTTAGAATTTTCAAAGTTCAAAATGCTTTCAAATTAAATCTTAAACAATTTTTCATCTTCATTTTTTGGCCAAAGTTTTGCTTGATACTAATGCTTATATACACTTAATACAGACATAAAAAAATATTTCATCACCTAATGTTAAATGTCATGAAAAGTAAAAATACTAATAAATGCTTAATTTTGACATTGTATGAAAAAAAATCTTATATAAGTTTAATGCCATAGAAAAGCATCACGCCCACAATGGCAGAGAAAATTAGATATCTTAAAATAAACATCATGATGTATAGAAGTAATAAAGTTCGACCTTAATGTCAAAAACGTTTCACCCACTTATACCTTGTTCTTGCAGTCAATAATTGTGTTCATCATGACACACACTTCAGGTGGTACGAAATAGTCTGTACTTCGACCACCTTTCCTCAGGTACGTCTCAAACGATTTCAACGTTCTGAAAATAAAAGATGAAAAATTCTAAAATAAAATAATATGTTCAAAACATACAATTATAAATGAATAATTATCATGATAATATCTACTTCATCAAAATTATCACTTAATTTATAAGGAAGAAAATATAGATTTGTCCTTGCATATAGATTTATCCTTGTGTATTGAATTCAGAAAAAAAAATCCACAAAACATTGTCATTAACAAAACATATCTATTTCACAACCCTATCTTTAAGTATTGTTTATCTGGATTAAAGGTAAAGCTGCATCTCTTTAGATCTAATAAGGGCATAAGACCGTAAAAATAATGCTAACTGTGCATTTTTTTTCAGGCAAAAGTGGGCACTTGAGACAACCCACTGACAGTCATTAAGCGAGCAAAATAATAAAACCATTTGATAAAGCTGTCTTAAAAGCTCATTCAACATATAAATCATGAGGACAAGGCAGGTGACACGTTGTGTAAATTACTGCAAATTGTTTCCGTTAAAAGACCTCAAGCAATCTTCAACAAAACATAATGTAGCAAATGCACTCAAAATGAATGAGACTGTAACTTAAGAATTTAATTGACAAAAACTGAAATCAACAGCAAAGAAACAAAACATGCAAAAACTATTTATTTCTTATTGTTTCAAAAGTAATAATTGAACATTACAATATAACATGTGTTTGATGAAACAAAAGGATATTAAGGAATCTTACAAAAATTGATTTTCATAGATAGGTTTGTGTTTTCTTTTGGCAAAATTAACAAAACCCAATTTGGTAAATAATATTTAATCATTAAATATTACAGTGAACATGTTTTAAAAAACTTTTAAGAAAACTTATCCAACCCTTATCATACAAATTATGTAAATAACTAGAAATGTGACCATATGACATAGATGCCCCAATCATGTAATGTTTTAACCTCCAAGTACAACCTTGACCTGGGTGTTGCTTGCAACATCTCCCCCATCTGACAATGGGTAAGACATATGAAAAATATTTTGACATCCAATCACGAAAGAAGAATGTGTTAAGATGAAGAGGAAAGCAGACACACACAAATTGACCTTTAACCTTCAAATTGGACCATGACCTTGAAGGTGTTGATACCGGTTATGTGTACGACACATTAACTGTGCTGAAGGCACATATTGAATATTTTTTGACAGTCCCTGAATTGGCCTGAACAACAAATGCACATATTTATTCAGAACAACCTGTGCAGAGCACTTCCCTTTTTGGAGACAATGATTTTTGGTTGTTCCTAATAGGTGAATTGCTATAAGTGGCTCTTCTGCAGAGGTTGCATAATACCAATATAACAACCGGATCTAACACTCAGTAAAACCAATGATTTGACAGTATGAGGCAAGATTCTCTCATTATAATTGAGTTGGGTATTCTATTACATTGCTACAATCATTCTGGTTTGATTGGTGGAGAAACAAACTTGTTTGTTTGGTTGGTTTAACAGCATATTAACACATTTTAGGTCATATGGCACCAAAATAGGAAAAGTTATTTTGGCTAACCTCGGGTGTTAAAACTTCAAAGCAACACCAGGGGTCAAAAACACCTCATCTGTTGGAGCTAAGAGATGCATAGACTCTATTTATTCAAACTCATTTAGTCACGCAGAGATAAAAACAGTGGGCTCAAACTACCCAGGTGCCTTGTTGTATTGGTACATTATCTTGGCATACCACAGTGCTATGCTTGAACAGTTGATGTTAAGTGATATCGCAAGTAAGCTTTAGTAAATTTAACCTTTCACCTGCTGAATTTAACAAATATCAAGTTTATCCAAATGAGAAATTTAAAAAAATTTTAAGCCTGGTCAGATTGAAGGGATGATGGCACAAATGTGTTTTCTGACCTGACTCTATATTGATGCCAAAAGCTGATCACTTTTGGTTCCAGCTTGATAACATTTGAATGATTTATTTAGAAACAACTCACTTCATTTTTTTTTCATTTTTTCTTGGTTGTATTGTATGTATGCACCAACACAGTATAGGTCATATGGGCACTTTCCAGCTTTACTGGTGGAGGAAGACCTCAGATGCTCTTAGTGTCCTCGCATGAAAGAATGAAAGTCCCTTTGGGATTTGAACCCACAAGCGTTAAGGGGCAGGTGGTTGGAAGTCAACAACCTTAACTACTATCATCATTTCAAAAATTGTAACTACCTTTTGGCAGCAGCTTCTATCATGTCTGCGGCCATGAGTTTGAGCCTGTGGTCAAGATGTTCTGCAAATACTTCCTCGGGCCAGTGAAGGTCACGAATAAATGACTGTAGTGCATCTAGCTTCCATAACATATCTTCTGATGTGGAGCAACCATTACTGTAAATATTATTGGTAAAATATTATCTTAAAAGCTGTGAATGACTTTGTGTCCGTTTTCACCAGTCATGGTAGTAATATATACATGTACACAAACAACAGTCACAATTTCTTTTATCAACCTACCTTTCATTTTTTAAGAATATTTGTAAAAAAAATTATAACAAAATTTACTACGCAATACTCTTTGAGAAACAAAGATTTCAGTTATTGCTGAAAGGTTTAGCTCTTAGACATGTTAGTTTTTTTGTGAAGTCTTTCTTCCAGGAAACCTGATATGGAAGATGTTAAGAGGTTATTGTTCCACAGAGGTCTGACTCTGCAAAGGTTTCACATGTCTACATCAAGCTGACATCACATATATTTATCAAGAAACCTATCTTGTAAGATTCAAGTGATTCTAAATAACTTAATAATTCTTTAACATTAAATAAAATTCAAGATGAAAATAATAATTTTCTTCACCAGTATCTTAATCCTAGGTAAAAACATTTTAAATCTTTACCACTTTGAAGACGAAAAAGTACTGTGCCTTTTTAATGGCAGAATGGACACTCATTTGAGAACCAACATTTCTTGCTTTAAGATATTTCACTAAAACATTTTTTTTTATATTAGAATTGCCCTTGTGTCAGCCAACAATTTTTTACTACATTAAAATTAAGCATGTCTCCAATCAAATATTTTCTACACTAGAATTACCCGTGTCAACTAAAAAATAATATTGTTTTAGAAATACCCCTGTTTCACCTCTCAAACATTTTTATGCATTAAAATCACCATTGTTTCCATTAAAAAAATTTTCTCCTCAAAAATTACCCCTGTGATTCTTATCAAATAATTTCTACATAAGAATAACCCCTGTATTTCCCAAAATATTTTCTTCCTAAATCTACCCCAGTATCTCTCATCAAAAATTTTCCTGTTTTAGAATTACCCCTGTGTTTCCCAGCGCTCTTTCTCAAATCCTCTATGTATTGATTGTGCTATTGAAGACTCCATAAGGTCGACATATCTAACCACTTGTGGTGCGAACATGTCTCTGAGGTGAAGGTGAAACTTTCCATTGCATAAGTTCTCTGCAAACATAATCATTTTTATATTACATAACCACAAAACAGAAATTTCTCTTCACAATAATGCAAGATCATCAAAAGTTTTGTGAAAAAACATGTTGAACAAATTTTCTAGAGAACGTAAACATTTAACCACACACACAGTTACGCTATTAAAGATGTAACGATAATAACATGATATAATTTTATCCCCGAATAATGTTATCCAACAGTTAATCACAAATTTAAAGATTAAAGATGATTTCCTAGAATTTGTTCTTCTGAGAATCAAAGCCTATAAATAGTTAAAAAGGAACAGCTACAAGACTCCTAATATATATTCTATCTACATGTACTGTATATATCAAGAAAGATTTGTTGAATGTGTCAATCTTGATTTTTTCAAAATGAAGGTCATGGTGTTGGTAGTTTTCACTCTCAGTAAGATAAAGCCACATTTGATTAACCAGAGCACATTTCTGCCACTGCATCATTCCTAAGCAAGCTGTCAAGCTGTTTACTAGTACCAATTGCCTTCACTTACGAAAGGAACTAATAACTTATGTAAATGCCAGAGCAGACATACAGTGCAAATAACAGTAGAAAGGATTTCATGATCAATCACAATGCAAGTGACCTGCACTGTCCAAGAATCGAACCCGTATCGACCGATCTACAGTAAAATGCTCTAACTATTAAGCTAACCTGATGGTGCTATTTTTTTAATAAAAATTGCTCGCAATATTTTTTTATATACTTTACAGGTAGCAGACACAACCTACAGAATTTTGTTCCTATAAAATTACAATATTTTCCATATGACAAAATTAAAACATGATTTATGTACATGCTTATATCTCAATATTTCCATTTTAATTAAATTACAAATTAGCAGACAGACTCATTTGCACAGAAAAGCAAAATTCATTATTATTAGATTTATTAATTGATAACTCGGTACATGTACATTATATAATCTTTTTATTCTTTCAGACAAATAAAATAACCCATTGACTGCTGGCAGCAACAAACTCTATCCATAAGACCAGTGCAGACGAAAATCAGTTCGCACTCCTCTACAGTTTGATCATGGTCTGCACTGGTTGCCATTCTGTCAGTACATACATGTATTTTGAAATTTTCGCTAAAATGATGGTTTGGTGGAGACTGAAGGATAGACATGTCCATTTAAGATACTTGGCATATGACAACCTTTTATATACAGCCATATAATTTAACAAAAAATCTGTTTAAACTAGAAATGTGTCCATAGGACACAGATGCCCCCACACGCCACTGTTCTGTCAATCTTATGACTCTAGGTCAAATATTTTTTGGACTACATGTGCCACAAGTTGAAAACTAAAAATCAACAAAGGGCTATAATTCTGTTAAATTTGGTCGCAGCAAAAATTCCTTCCTTTACTACCATCTACACATTAAGGTTGTTCATCCTTGGAAGTTTAAGCAAAATCTGCTGTCCGGTTTAAGAGGAGTTGTGCTCACAAAATTTCTACATAGTATATAGTGAAAAAATCAACAAAGGGCCATAATTCTTTTAAATTTGGTCACAGCAAAAATTCCTTCCTTTACTACCATCTACACATTAAGGTTGTTCATCCCTGAAAGTTTAAGCAAAATCTGCCATCCGGTTTAAGAGGAGTTACATTCACAAAATTTCTACATAGTATATAGTGAAAAAATCAACAAAGGGCCATAATTCTGTTAAATTTGGTCGCAGCGAAAATTCCTTCCTTCACTTCCATCTACACATTAAGGTTGTTCATCCCTGAAAGTTTAAGCAAAATCTGCCATCTGGTTTAAGAGGATTTGCGTCACAAGATTTTGGGACGTACGGAGGGACGGATGGACAAGTGCAACGCTATATGCTCCCACTTTGTGGGGGCATAAAAATTATAACTCCTGATAAATGCTGTTCTTCAATCAAAAAAGAAACCATTCACGAATCTGTGACTGTACTCAATATAAATGATTTAATAATTATGAATATCCAATGAAAATTGATGTTACAAGCATGCATTTTATAATGTATAAAAGATATTTCATACATAAGTATTTCTAAAAATGCTACAGGAAAATTATATTTAATATTTTAAAATATGTGAAGGTGTTTATAAAAGCCCCTGAAAAAATAATAGAGTGGGAAGTAAAGTAAAGTATATCTTTTCCAGTTTTTCCTTTTAATAAGACTCCTTGGCAGTAACATTTGTGAAAACTGAGTTAAAAACATTGCATAAACAAAACTGGTGAAAAATAAGTGACAAAATATTAATTCTGTTCAATATACTGGAAAATGAATAAATTCTTATAAAGAGTATGTGAAATCAAGATGTGGATTGTAAAAGAAGGAAAAACTTTTCTAATATGCAATCAAGATTCCAAATTTCAATTTTCTGTGATTCAAATACATTTTTTGCTACAATATTATTGCCCTTCCACCTAAAATCAAAACCAGTATATATACCTCCCCTTCCTCTTTTTGCTGTTTAATATAGGTAAAGTACAAATATAAAAATGAAAACTTTACATTATAATATTTAAGGCTTCTCTTTAACACTGATTGCTTTATTCTGTAGGAAATTCAAATTTTAAAAATATTGCTACGCTTCTCTTTGACTCCTATTTGTTGCTCGATGTAATTCTACTAACTGGAAGCAAGCAGCATAATCACTAGCCTGTAAATTAAAATTTTTTCTAACATTCCTCGGTTTCAGCTGTCTGAAACTTGAATGAGCTACACACCTACAAGAATTTTAAGCACTCTTGACAAAAATCGCTATTGCATCTTCAGTAAGAGTCTGAACACTGTAACTTACAATGCTGAAACTAAATTGTTAAACCTTTGCCATCAGTATAAAAAAGACAGGTCAGCAAGCTATATAGAACCTTGACCTTAACCATTACTATCATATCAAATTTATTGGCTTTAGCTGACCACTCGGTATAATATTTTTTCTTACCATCAGTTCTAAGGTAATCATTCAACAATTGAAACAAGGGAAAACTGTCCCATGTATCGGGTGGCTGGGCTTCCAGTGTGGCGTCCATGTCCACTGCAAACAATGACCAAAAGATCTCTGCGTGCTCCACTAGCAAATCACTGAACCATGCAAATGCCTGAAATATTTACAAGTTGTATATATAGTACACATATATAATATACACATTTATATCACACTTTAAATTAATACACATATAATTAACTGAACATGTACAGTAACTAAAAAAGAAACAACCTGAAAAAGTAATAACAATTAGTTGGTAAACACAGGTGGTCTTTCGCTCAAGAGTAAAATAAAATTCATTGTTGATAGGAGTGAAATACAAAAAATAAAATGAACAATATCAATGAACACAAATGGTGATTTTAAAATAGCACAATTCCTCCTCAAGGAAAGACAAATATTATGATAAAGGAGGTAAAAAAAAGGCAGTTATTTTTATTTTTTTTTAATAATAAGTATGTTTCTGTATGTCCAAATATTATTTATGTTTTTTATTATTTCTTCAAACAAACAGCATTCAACAAAAATAATTATTTTTTTTAAAAATGCATTCAACAATAATATAACTCAATCAAAGCATAGCTTCAAGAAGATAACATTTCTTGATAACATAACTATCAGAATGTAAATATCAAAAAGTAATAAATGTATTGCAATATTTCATCATTGCATTATTTCAATATTTTGAGATGGGTAAATGTTCTTTTTTTTCTTAAAGAATCAGATTGTACTTTTTTCTTACCAATACTGATTTTCATTTACTTTGGAATAACAATGAAATACAATGTTAAAAGCTAGGGGAACTATTCTTTTTGATACCATTAGTTTAATGAGGGTATACAAGGGAGTTAAGTCAAAGCAAGGCATTAAAGGAACTCCACTTAGGTCGAAAAAAAATAAAAACATAAAATTCCTTAAATAGATCAACTTGGACACTTAAAACAGAAAGATATGCAAAAGATATTTAAGAAATATACTCAGAATAAATTATAATCATGTTTTTGTGCTATTTTAGTCCATTTGAGTGAAAAGCATTAATTTGGGATTATTTTTCACATTCTGAATAATAATTCTGGAAAACAGAGTGAGCACATGACCCGAAATTTTGCACAAAAGTTATTGGCCTTGACCTTCATCAAATGGAAGAATAATTTTGATAATTATTTCCAGTCCTGTCATTTAAAAAAACCTCAGTGAAGTCCCTTTAAAGTGTAATAGTTGCTATTTGGAACTTGGCAAATGTGGGTTTTTCCAAGCTTATCCTCTGGTACAAACAAAGTTTTACTAAGCACTACTGTTCACAATAGATTAGTCAACCTGTTGCACTAATTTTTGAACATGAAACTGTAAAAAGTTGTATACATGTACCTCTGAATTAGCTGAGAAAAACCCAAACTATCCTTAATTTGGGAGTTAGTCTATTACATAGTAAATATTAATAACTACAAGTAAATTTTATTGAAGCATAATTAAGAAGTTTTGTGACCATGCCATAATCCTGGTCAATTACATGTATGAAGTGTGGTAAATCCTTTAACAGCATCCAATCCTCAATACTAAAGGTAAAGGTCCTTAAAGTTAAATCTTGTGGTGGGAAAGTCATATACATGAATGTCTAGGATGGTTAAAATTAATTCCCTTCAAACTTAAAATAAACACCTGTCACTCCCTTTTGGTCAGTGACTGGCTATTTTCTTCTCTCTTGTTTTTAAGGCACATACAAACTACAATTAGTCAAACAAGCTTTGTATACACTTACTTATATCTGGATTGAGACTTTTTGGTTCATACCCCATGGAAATTTTATATTAACCCTTAGCATAAAAGCAGCAACTGATTCTACCACTGCAGATGAGATCAACTGTGCCATACAATGATGGTCTGCATTGTTTGCAATTCAGTTAGTATATATTACGAAATTTTCTCTAAAAATGTTTGAATTGTCTTGTCCAGATTGCAAGATTGACAAGTCCATATTTAGCATGGTAAAGGTTAAGTATATATTTCATAACCCTACCACATTGGCTTCCGAATTTCTTTTTAAGGTTAGTTTATGAAATGCCCAAGTAATTCAATGGCTAAGCCAAAAAGGGCATTATGCATCATATCAACCATGAAGAAAAAAAAAAATTCTGAATGTCACAATGTGTGTTAGTTACTAACACCAGTCAACAGTCTTGTTTTCAACTTATACATATTTTTCGCTATTTTTAAGTATATGATATTATATTCTCACTTAAATGTAGAAAAGTATTAACCTTTTCGCTGCCAGAGGGTTATTTATTTAGTGATCACCTATTTGCTTGAAGGTTTATATTATTATTATAATTATTTTTATAGAAATGGCAAAAGCTGTCCATATGGCAAATACGCCGAAAATAATAGGGATGGCATATGCCGTCCCTATGGCAGTGAAAGGGTTAAGCAAATACAATGTTAGAATGTTAAGGTACATAAATATATGGGTGACAATGCAAATCATGTTAGACTATTTGATACAACAAATGAGCTGTGCCATGACAAAACCAACATAATGCGTTTGCAACCAGCATGGATCCAGACCAGCCTGGGCATCCGTGCAGTCTGATCAGGATCCATGCTGTTCGCTTAAAACTGTATAACCAGTAGAGAAACTAATAGCGAACAGCATGGATCCTGATCAGACTGCGTAATGCGCAGGCTGGTCTGGATCCATGCTGGTCGCAAACCCATTATGTTATTTTTGTCGTGACGTGGCTCAAATGTATGTTCGTTTATTTGTTTTATCTTGTTTGTACACCCATGTTGACACATTTTTAAGTCATGTCTCGGCAGATGATCCACCTAACTGACTTTCCTGGATAACAAACCAGTATATACAAATTTCTTCACAAGTGAAGGACTACTAATCTCACATGATTTCTGAATCAGATGTGAGAGATAATTTACCATTTGATTCAATGTTCGATATCAATTGCAATTTTTACACCAAACCCAAGGATCAAACCAGAGAGACTTCTGAATTACTAATTCAATGCCCTCCCTATTAAACAAAAGTGGGCAAACAATACCAAATGCTTTGTTTAGTAGTTTCAAGGCTTAAGTAGAGATACTACTTTCACCATGGGGCAAAACAATGTTCAAGATATCAGCTTAATGATAAAATATCTGATTAATTTTCATTCTCTTAAGAATTAGCTAGGCAGCAATAAAATTAATGCTTTTAAGCTAAGCAATGATACATGTAAAACATTGATTGCATCAACAATGTAATGATGCTCGAGAGACAAACAATTAAACCTTGCATCTTAATAAAGCAATTTTATTTCCGTGGAAAAAAACAACATTTTTTAAAATGTCTACTTTTATTTGTAAACCGTCTACATTCTTATCAGATATTTTCCTTTGGTACAAGTAGTAAAAATTACAACCTTAACAATAAAATTAAAGACTATCACTACTATATTCTTTTATCTTCAATTAAAACTTCTGTGAACTAAATCTATACAAAGAAACAAAAAAACAACTAGTGTGCAAAATTGCGATACATGTACAATTTAAAGCTTGTGAAGCCGAGATTACAGTATACACGCAGTGTGAGTGTGTGCAATAACTTCACATATTTACATGTTCTATTACACATTCCATTTCCTCTGCCTTCAGAGGAGGCTGAAAAAAAATTGCCATACTAGTAATTCATAAAATGAGCCGCGTCATGACAAAACCAACATAGTGTGTTTGCGACCAGCAGGATCTGACCGCTGGGATCACAAGTCTGATCAGATCCATGTTTTGTATCGTTTCTATTCGTAAGGGTTTGTAGTTTTAAGCGACGTGTCCTGATCAGCTGCGCGATGCTGTCCAAAGCTATGTTGGTTTTGTCGTGACGCAGCTCAAATGGAATCAAAATAATTGTCAAGATTTTGAAGGCTGCTCATGTACTTGCTTATCCTTGGAAAAAAAACAACAACATTTAAACCTTCCCAAATTTCTAATATATAGACTTACCCTGTTTTTAATATGGACCAATTGATTTTTAGTAGAAGGGATTTCAAAATTAGAATATGCGATCTAAGCTATTGATGTTTCTTGAAATAACTGTCAAACATCACTAAAGTTGTATAATGGACTTTTCCTGTTTTGAGCTTTGGCACAGTTCTTTGCATTAAAAGATCAGGATATTTTAATCAAGTGGCCAACCATATTGAGTAAGGCTAGACTGCACACCTATGGCAGGCTAACAGTCAAGGCTCTGTTTCGGAAACATTCAACCATCTTGTTTGCAGCTCATGAGTAAATGGGGTGATAATCACTGAATTTTCGAAGACGAAGATCTATCTACCAGAAGATAAAGAAAAGAAATGAGTTTCATGTATCCAGCTTCCATTGAATAAAAGAAAAGGTACAGACAATTAATGAATTTAGTAAATAATAGCAGAAAAACAAAACAATGATTGTACTTAGTTGTTAATGCATGAATCTAAAAAATCTATTTCATTTCACTCTATACACAAAAATGATATGCCTCAAGATACACTGCAGAATAAAAATTAATATAATTATGTGCCTTGAAAACAAACATACTTCTAACTAAATATATATTAAAATCATATACAGTAAATCTACATATCATTTTCTTTTTTAAAGTATAATGTAGCCAAGCTTTTTCTTTATTTAGGCTTTTTAACACAAACCTATTTTACCATAGCCTTTTTAAAAGACACATGAATTGCAAAAAAAGTAATGACCATTTTTGACTTTGAAGAAAAACATATTGCTTATGCAGAGAACAAAGAAAAAACAACATTTGGATCACCTGTGATGTAATTGTGCAGATTTAGATTGCTTGCGGTAGTTTTGATTATTTTTGGTAATTTTAAGTTACTTTTGGGTAATTTAAAAAAAATACTTTTCGTGACTTTTTTATCACTTGAAGTTATTTAAGATTCAATGATAGCAGTTTAGGATCACAGCTATAAATGATTAACTATATCTTCAAGTAACACTGATCACTCATATTTATAAAGCTATCCCAATAGAGGGAAAATGAAAGCCAGTCTAATGTTAACAATAAATATTGAAATCATGCAATAGACAGTAACCAGTCTACACTTCAAACTGTTTACTGACAAT